GGAAGGGGGAGGGAGGGGGGGGAGGGAGGGAGGGAGGAGAGGGGAGGAGAGGGAAGGGGGAGGGAAGGCGGGGATAGGAGAGAGCAATACAGTGGATTATATATATATATAGTCAGGTAAAGCCTACCTATACAAGTTTCTGCTTTTGGTACAATCATTACCACTGTTGATTCTGATTCTGATTCTGATTTTGATTTTGATTTTGATTTTGATTTTGCCGTGTGGACGGACAGATGGATACCATGGACGGATAGACGGATCACGGAGTTTACATATTCTGTCTTCGCTGGATCTCGCTGGATTTCGCTGGATTGAGCGTGTATATATCATATACGATATATAATATGCGATATGATATATATGATATGATATACTCTAACAAAGACGTCTGTACATCCAGTGCTGCCTGGCTAAAGGGTCTATTGCGTATTTACCTATTTGGGACGTAATAAATATATATATATATATAGGGAAAGAATTTTTTTGTTTTAGGGAGAGAGAAAAGATTATGAATTATGGGGGCGTTGGGAAAGGGGAGAAGTGGTGTTTGTTGTTTGTGTATGTGGGATCGCGTTCTGATTGAGAGGGGGTGTGTGAGGTTGTGATATTTTTTGGTGTTGAGATTGAGGGTTTGGTGGGGGATCGATCTTGAGGAGGTTGGAAAAAAAAAAGGTCATGATGGGTGTTTGTGGAGTTGCGGATTTGGAAGAATGGGATCGGGATATATATTCTGGTGATGGCGGGGAGGAGAGTGGGGTGGGGGGAGGAGGAGTAGTGGGAGTGATCTTACCGTACGATAGATTTTCATACAAAGGCCAGTGGATCAAACGAGTAGAGGTTGAAATTTATGGAGGGATGGTCAAAGTGCGTACTCATAAAAGATCTATCCACTGGCCCCAAGCCCCTCCTTCATGAAATGCTGTACATCGGCTGGAACATATGCGCTTTCAGTCTGCGAGACTTATCGTACCGAGCGACGCTGTGCGCCAGCTTCCTCCAACATCAATATGATGTCGACGTGGTCTGCGTTTTCGAGACAGGCCACAGTGAAGCGAGGCGCCAAAGTACAGTGATTTCCAATTGTCTTGAAGAGAGCCTGAAGAAGCTCACTAGTCCTCATCCAATAGTCCAAGGGGAAGAGTCCGAAGCTATCCAGGGCGTTGACGTTAGCACCCATAGCGAGAAGATACCCAATGACACCTGCTTGCCCAAGATAGCATGCCAGATGAAGAGCAGTCATGTGATGGTCGGCAATGACAAGATGATTTGCACCGTGTGACTCGCCAGGAATATTGCGAAGTAGAATCATTGCAGCTTCCAGGTGTCCGTTAGCCATCGCTAGGAGGACAGGTGACCACGAATGCTCGTCTCTCGCTTCGACGTCTGCGCCCGCCGTAATCAATCGACGCAGCATTCCTACACGGCCGTCCCTGGCTGCAAGATGAAGACACGTTGCGGAATCACTCGTGTAGAAAGCCTCGATGGCTAGAGGACCGCAGCTGCGGGGAGAGTATAAGATCCAAGGATCGCCGGAGTAGGATATCAGGCTCCGGACGGGTTTGTTGATATTGGCATTTGCGTCAAGCTGTATGGACTTGAAAAGTGTGGCTTCTTGGCCACGGAAGGAAGACCAGCGTGGGACCACGATCCCGCCAGACATAATGTGTGCCTTGCGCAGATGTTCGATGGTAGTTTCGTACATGCGCCGGCTCACGAGGGTACACTGCTTGATGTCGGATTCCTCCTTCAAGAAGCCCAGGATCATGAGAAGGATCTCTTCTGGGAGGCGCAGTAGCGTCATTTTTGAGAGAGGAGGTACAAGACCACATTCATCCATTATTGGCAGATATCTGAGAGGAAGGAAGCCCCGTTTGCCCTGGGTGTCGGTGGCCTCGAATAGTGGAAGGTTTTGTTCGCAAGGTTGGAGACTGAGGTAGAGGTATAGCTTTGGGTGGGTTTACGGTATCGAATATGTATTCGTAGGGTTCTGTCGCCTGCTGTCGTGTAAAGCAAGAAAGAGGCTGATGTGCCTATCCCAATGGATCCCACACAATGAATCCAGAAACTGTGAGTATACTCCTTGGGGCATTATGGAAAGCCAGCAATGCATTATTTGAGATGGAAATAAACAAAGAGTGACGGAAGGAACTGGAAGACAGTGATCAGCCAGTGCCGACGAAAATGGTTACTTTCTACCAACAACGGGTGAGATTCAAATCCCCGGATCTTCGGGGCCTTTCCGTTTCCCTGAAACTGTCACTCTTACTATACATTTCCGTTACAGTCGGCCGTGGCGATCAAATCCATAGACGCAGATATGTCACTCTCGCACATCGGTGTGTCCACAAGTCAGTGGAATTTCTTCTCTGGCGGTTGATTTTAGTCGTGAGGGTAGAGAAGCGAGGAAAATGCGGCTGACGAGAAGCGAAGGAAGGGCCGTGGGGAAGTGTTCTAAGCCCAAAGTGGAATAGCCTGAAGCTAACCAGCCACTCAAGCTAATGATCCAAGATAAAATCTTTTCCGGCTCCAGTTCCTCTCTGGCTTCCCCAACTCAAACATAACAACAACAACAACCTCAACGACCTTAACGACCTCAACCAACTTGGTGCTCTGGAATCTCTGGATTCGAGTCTGCGGTCGAATGGAGAGAGACAGCCTGAACTGGTCGGCCATCCATACCGCACTTTCTCTGCGCTGAGCTTTCTGATGGCTCGTTTGTGCGCTCCGCTCGCTCACTGAAAGAGGAGAGGCTTCCGAGACAACATTTTCTCATTTGTTCTTTCAATTTTTCTCACAGCACAAACCAAACCACATATTACTACCTCTTGCGCCCAACCAGTGGACTTGAGCGTCACTTTTTTCAATATCGTTCGTGGGATAGCAAAAACAGGGCCTAGACAGCCCGTCCACTCCACCCTGATTGGCGTCGAAAATGCGCTACCTAGGACTAAATCGGACAAACAGATCAAAAAAAAAACTCCATCTTCTGTCAATTTTTGAGCATGTCAATGGTCGCATATCTTCCTGGCTGGTTGGATTTCACGGTTGACTATCTACATTAATTTGCGCTCCCTAGGCAGTTTGCCTCCCATCTACATATATATATAATATATCAATGCATACAATTGTTCTCCATTTGCTTTCTGGACATCGTCTTTGCTCCTCCCCGCTGAACCCATGACCTATCCCCTCCCCCTCTGCAATGCATAATGCCAAATATTCTGGCGAAAGGACGATTGCAGGAGTTGAGCTGCTAACCATCCAGAATCCGACCTATCCCGGCTGAACGAAGTCAAGGTCTGTCTGTACCCATGAAGGGTTCTCGCTCCGGCAATACCACTATACGGTATCCGATCCTGTCCCAAATCAGCCAAACATCGTCATCTTTCATCCGAAGTCAATTCATCAAAATCGAATACGGCTCCCCAAACGCCTTTCGTCATAGCATCTAGCTCTCTCTCCAAACCCACCTGTTGGCCGTTGTACAATGCTCTGAGGGTATTGAATCAAGCACCACGAGCTCCACCATCCCCTTTCTTTTGGGTCAGATATATCTAATGTAGCAGTCTCTTGCGCTGCGTAAAAGGCAGCTCCTCTAATGCCAAACAAGCATCCAGGCACTCTCCCCTTCCGGATCCTTCTCTGCCTTCATCTTTTGCGTGTCGCATACGGCCAGTGTATCAGCTGTGGTCTCCAGATTCCCGGTACAGAGACAGAATCAAAATGGGGCCGGACGAAAGACCCGATAATCTTTGATGCGAGAGCGAAGTGACCTTCTAATGCCTTCCAGGACAGATGGGTGGTCTCCATGTCTATGTGCGATCTGTACATTGTCCATTTGAAGATGGTGGAAGACTAATTAATCTCTCGCATCTTCCACATGCCTTACCTCCAGAGCACTCCCTTGGGTTTGGCCTCGCACGAAATCTGACTTCAGCAAGCCTAAGGACATAGTTTGCATCCAACACTTCTAACGCGCCTTCAGCTACTTCGGGATCCAACTCTCCATTCCTACAGCCCGCTGTTTCCATTACCCTCAATCTCATCAAGCACAAGAAGCAATCCATGGTTCGAGACAGCGGCGTGGTGCTCAGTAAGCGACTTTGCCTTGCCCTTACTATTGGTACTCTTCCCACATGGTTTCCCCTTCCGGATCTTGCTCCTATTGTGGTCCTGGGGATGCAAGAGAAGCGACATATCCCAGCAATCAGTTGGAAACTTGCGGGTCCATTGGAGACCAGGTTATACTCTTTATGGACCTTCACCGGTCTTATCTGAGGAACCAGTATGTGTGGCTGGATCACAGGACTTGTGAACGGGCAAAACAAAATCCTCGATGGTGGAGGTAATCCTCAAGTGACTATGGCACACGCAGGGGATCCTGATCAGCTCACGATAGCAAGAACTGGAGAAGTATGTATACCAGTATATGATAAAGCAGGGGATGGGTCGAGTCGCTCGAAAGCCTGCAGGGACGATGTGGTTGGTGACCGACCAAAATCTCCCACGTTTACGTCTTGGTCACCGAGCAGGGGTTCCGATCCTGCACGTTAGATCAAAGACCGCCACTCACTCGTATCCCAGGTCGCTGGGAAGGCACGCCTAGCGGGGCAAATGTGTGGTGGACAAGATGGTTCATTACTATTGGAATACAGGCCGCTCGATCTACCGGTATGCCCCCCCGTGTCTCCAGTCCTTCCTATCACCAACGCCAACATACACACGGCCCTGTCCAACAACACCCATCGCCTCAAGACGCATTGTTTGCAGACATGACAGTCCGGGGTAGACGGCCGAATTCGCAGCGCTGATTGGGAAGAAGCCTGAAAACCCCGCCGTGTCATCCACTGTGCACACAGAAAATACAGCCGAAGCCAGAAAAAAAAAAGGCAAAAACAAAGAAAACCGCCCAAGCGAACGCCCATGGTGAATCTATCTGGAATGCGCGCTCGCTCCTCAAGCTGACGAAAAAACAAAATCCTGGCGTGTGAAGGCGTTTCACTCTCGAAATTCTATCCTGCAACCCCAAAATGACAAACATGGAATAATCGCACTCGTTCGGGATTATCGAATGGAGCGCAAGATGAAGCTGATCTGTAGGTGGTGGGTACCAAAACATCCTGCGCTGGCAGCAGAGATGGTTATCTATCTGCAATTCACGGGACATCCTCTCGAACGATGATTGAAAAAAACAAACAGCATGTCCAACACCTCGGAGCGGGGCCAACGCCGGGCCCGCGCTAACGTAAATTCGTAAGTTCGTCTGCCAGATCAAACTCTGTAGCGGTTGCTAGAGGTCCGTTCTTGGATTTGTTGCTCCGTGGAAACGTATAGGTTGTCGAGTGCCGCCATAGCTGGGGCGTCTCTCAATATTTTGGCCACCTGTATCCCGGCAGAAATCAGCTGCAGGATATTCCGATCGTCCTTGAGTGGGCGGGATTGGTGTTTGGCTGCGTGGCGCATCTCCAACGAGTTCTCCAAGATGGTAATAAACTGTTTTATCTGGCCGTTGTACAAGACCCGGGCGGGTATGCGACGTTTTGTCGCCAGGCGCTTCAGGAGATATACCCATTCCGTCCACTCTCGATCTTGTGGGCGTTCCACAGGTCGCATTTCGCCATTGGCCAAAGGAATTGGAAATTGATACTTCGCAACGAAATCAAATGCGCACTGAGAAAGCCGGTCATTGACCTGCGTGAGAATGCTATCCTGCTCATGCACTACCAAGTTGGTGGGAAGATGCGGCAAGTCTCTCTCTTGTTGTGCAATATAATCCGGCGGCGGGCGTTGCAGAAACTGGTGCGGTCCATCGAACTCGTCTCTGTTGGATGGCCGCCTTTGCTGAGAGTGGCCTTTTCCTTCAATCTTCGGTTTGCTTACTATTTTGCTCGATGTGTCATGTACGAAGTCTCCCGGGCTTGGGGAAGCCACAAAGTCATCGTACATATCGGGCGAGATCCTGCCTTGAGGTTCCCAACTTGAGTTTGGACTGGCGTACGACTTGTAGCCGGGCCCGGGGGCGCCGTAGAGAGCGGAGGATGCTCCGGTATTGTATCCGTTGGAGTATATCGAGTCCGAGCGGATGAGATTGGTCCCTGAAGGAATCGTCGCGATTGGACCTGGCGGGCTGTAACTTGATGTTACACCAGGTGTGTAGGCGGCGCTTCGGAAACGGTATCTTAGCAAGGTGGCCTGGGAAACGGGGCGGACGATCTTACCTGGACGCTGGATAAAAGGGGGTCTCGTATCCAGGAGGCACAACTTCCTGGTACGTGCTACTTTTCGATGGTCAGTCACTTCGGATCCCACGCGCTCCGGCATGAGGGAATTTTCGTACCTTCTCGAGGCATTCATGGTTCCGATGGGCACCGGGCGCCCATATCCGTAGTCCGGTTGGACTTGAAGGCTCCGTCGCGAGGCCATCATGCCGTAGCCAGGCAATCCGTGGTCGTGAAATATGAGAGAGACAGGAGTACGAATGTACAAAGGAAATAAGACGACGCGAAATGTTCTTGAAGAAGGGAATCCTGTGGACCTGTGGACGTCGGGGCGACGGTACTTCCTATCCAAATGGGAATTGACACCTGGACCACGGACAAGAATGGGTCCCCAGGATAGAAAGGCTTGGGTATATTAAGGCGGTGAGTGATGCGTGGCTGACCCAAAGTGTAACTCTGATAGCGACGGCAAGCAGTTGACTTTATAACATTCTCGGAAATGGAGTCATGAAGCGACTAATTTATAGACTCTGCTGCGGTGAGACAGGTGGTCCCTTCTTGACGCATTTTGCATTTCGGCAACGGTCAGCTATCCCCAAGATGCACGTTTGACAACGACCAAAGACGGGGCGCCAACCAAAGCATGGGAGCTCAGGCCAGGTTAGACCTGATTATCGGGAGAGTAACAGCTTGACATGAGACGGTTCTGCATGGAACGGGGTTCGTTCGCCACCACTCTGCACGGATGGGCGTTGTTTGAGCAAAGAAGCAGGAAGAGTCTTGCAAGTTGCATGGCACTGGAGATTACTCGGCGCGGAGATGGCCATGGTCAAGCAGTTTGCTTTTGCAGCCAGGCCAGCACAGCCAGCAACGGTTACTTACCATTACATACATACAGTACATTGCCGTGTGGCGACTCGGCAATGCTCTGCAGGGACGCTCCCCTTACAACGGTGGTGTTGTCCTGTCAAGGACGTTATGGCAGTTCGGGATGTGGAGGGCAGCGTGGCTTCTATTGGGCATCATTGGGCCAGTTGTGCCATGCCATGCCCTATAGAAGGGGATGCCAGTTTGCGAGCCCGAGGTTGCGATTCGATGAGTGAGCACGGGCGGCGGCGGCGGATCGAGGCATTCATTGTACGAAGACGAAGTACCTAGCACCTTCAAGTTCCCTCCGCACTTCTTCCTCCCTGGATAGATAGAGTGCAAGGGCCCTCCCAGAGCGTGGTATCTCCTGGTCTGCTGGCGGTGCCGGATGGACAGGATGATGGGCAGGACAATGGGCAGCATGTAACTTCTACCGGTACCTGCCTACCTACGGAATCGTGCTTGTGGTCAGTTGGGCATCGAAAATAACCCTTAATTTGATACGAGGATAGCCAGCGCGTGTCTGGCCGACAGATGCCCAAGTCGTTCACCGTACGCGAAAATCACCCAGCTTCATGCGTTAATGCCCAGGATTCGGGTGGCAAATTGCAATGGAGATGGCCTCCTCATGCCTCAACGGACGGACGGGGATGGACCTGAGACTGTGGGCATGGACATGGCGACATGTTGGAGGAGATAGAGTTCCACGGTGGAGAGTTACTTCGAGTTGTTGTGCGAATGATGCGAGGGGGAGGGGGGGAGTACGGAGGACTGTTGACTCTGGCCGGCTTTCAGGGGATCGGCCTTGCTCGCTCGGCCCGGTGCTGGCTGTGTTACCACCGCACACACACAAAGCTCATGAACAGCTCAACACTCAATAATCGCACCGAGATGGGGTCAGAAAGGAAGACTTGACTCGACTCGGCTCGGCTCTCTCCTCTCCCTATGAGTATCTCTTCCGTCTGCTTCGTCTGCTATCGGTTACCCACACCGACCCAGCACCAATATCTTCACCTGATATATCATTCAGGGATATACAACTATCAGGTCGTAGGTACAAGTATAACAGTTGGCAGTGGAGTCATATCCATCTCTTCTCTGCATAAGGGTCAGCAGGGTCTTGCCCCAGATCTCCGCGTTTCTGCAGCATACCCTTTCATTCAGGGTTTTCTGCTCCGACGTGATCGCCAGAATCGCGGCAGGTGACATCAACCATAACAATTTTCAACCACAACTTTTCTTCGATTTTATGATACGAAACGCCCCGAAACCGCGGCCGCTCGCCCGGCCAACTCTTCGGATTTTGCTGATCGTGCTGCGACGAAGCCGTCGTCCCTTGTCAACAACGGTCTGTACCTGTAGCCAACCACCCGAAGTTGCAATCACCATCCTTGGATCCAGGAGGGAGAGCAGAAAGACGATACGATTTGGAAGTCAATTTGCATGAAATGACCGCCAATTGATTGACTATGCATGCTGGACCCCGCTCTCTCAGGATGGACGTGTGCCCTTCCGTGACTCGGTAAGAATATGCAAATCTGCCCGGCTTCTGCATCACCGAGAGTGTTGTCTGAGCCAAGCTAGATGTCCAGGAAAGCTTACGAAGAGCACCCCCTTATAGTCGACGTCACTTGATCTGGAGCTGATCAGACCCCGGCACTCGACAATTTTCAGATGAAGTATGAGGTTCGACCCAAGTCATATATCTTCAAACCCAGATGCAAACGTAGGTGTCAGGCCTTTGAGTTCAAATTTTACTTCAACTGATCTTCAAAGGCGGCAGCAAATCTTCTAGTATTCTAGGATATCCAATCAACCCACGCCCGCCCGCATATTCCCAGGACCGGTTCGGATGCATCGCGACTCAAGCTCTATCCGTAAACAATTTCAAGCCGTTCGGATACGAGAAAAGCTCCCTTGGGGCATCATTCTTTCAACGCAACCGTTCTGCTGCGGAATCCTGGACACCGAGTCTGAATTCGGCCGTCATGCCTTCGCGGGGGATCTGATATCGCATCACGTCTTAAGCAGACTATTGGATCTCCTCGAAGCTTCAGGATATGGCCACGCAGAGTGATCCAGCAACTATGTCTTTGGTAAGCCTCCTATGCCATTAGACCATGATGACTCTAGGTCCAGAATTTCTGTCAAATATTATGACTGGTATACATACACCCAGGCTTCTGATCCTGTATCTACGTCTCTACCCTCCACCCTCCTTCTCCTGAGCTCAGTCTTGCCATTTCTAGTTATGTTGTAGCAACTCACTTGCCTTGAACTCTCAGTTCTTATAGCCCTGCTCCGTAGTTCAAGCTATCCCACTGGCCGAGCAGTGTGACAACAATGCTGCTAAACGCAAAGTTGAACACTCAACAAGTGCCTTTTTTTTAAATGTGCCTAGTTCGGTGCTTTGTAAGGCCCTAAGTGCGGAAGGTGGCATTCACTAAGACAAGACTTCTGTGGGTTCGATGGAGTATCGTCTGATTCTGGACTACTTCCCTCCCTTCTTGTTTACATGGATAAAACATAGCGCACGAAAGGCGTGAACTGTTTTTCGGCCTCAGGGAAGGCTGTTAGCTGAACGCTGTAGGTTATACATAGAATAATCTACACGTTATAGACATCAAGCACTTCCCAGTCCATACATCATGAATTTGCAGAGCATTTCATTCCCTAGTTTACGCGACTTTTTTGATTTTTTTTTCATCTGCAAAAATAGGGTCTGGAGTGGATGCTAAACCGTGGCTCATTGGTCTTTGATCGATGTAATGGGTAGCAAGCGCAGCAGGATTGATATGAAAGGGTTCAGATGACTGCAAGCGTAGCAGGCTACTTTGCTTTGCTTGCTTCCGCCCTTCTTTAATATATATATATATATATATATATATAATAATCAATGCTCTGACTTTTACTTGCGAGCTCTCGATGACAATCAAGATGAGCGAGTGTTCCAGGTCAAGCAAGTGTCCTACTTCAAATGATCAGAACACCGAAAATAATAGCATTTCACATGCCCAAAAAAAAGGGCATAACGCAAGATATATCAACAACTATTAAACATTAGCAAAGTCGGCATTCTTTCGAATAAAACCAATCGACCTTGCCTCTGACTTCCCATCCGAGCTTTCTCAAGTACAAACCACTTACTTCTAACTAAACTCCACTCGCGCAATTCGCTGTGATTCCGCTACCTACTCTATTTCCGAAATCACCAATCTCGACTTAAGAGATCACGCTTCAGAAAATCGACATGGCCATTCCTCCTTCTTCTTTCTGATTTTCAGCTTTCAATTATAAAACTATACTAAACGATTCAAAGTGCCTCTTGCGCGCTCAGCGCGCCTCTTCGATTACAACAAGTGCCTTTCTCTTATTAGGTTCTCGATTCAAGAATAGATCTTCGGCGGCGCACGCAAGCCGTCTCTTGCAATTGATTGCAAGCTGAAACTCAATTCCTTTTTTTTTTCGCGTAAAAAATAAAAAGGCTCTTCGAGCAGCTGCATCTTGCTTCTTTAAGAGCTTGTTGTGTATATATATATATATATATATATATATATATTTATTTTTTTTTTTCTTTGATAGCCGCTTCAAGTGTGTTCTTTGGCTTTGCTTTTCGTAGCGCCCGCCACTTTTTCTGCTCTCGTGCGAATTTGAATTGGGAGGATGGGGGGGGAGGGGAGGGGGGTTTAAGGGGCCAAAAAAAAAAATGAAGTTAATTTATTAGATGCGTTAGAAAAGGCGCTTTCATAATTAGAAAAAAAAAAAAAAAAAAATAGAAAAATTTGGAGCTCTCGAGTGATCAATTCTCGCGCGTACCATGAGAAGAAGAGCTGCGTTAGAACCAAGCTCTTACTGCTCACAGCAATATCATCGAATCGCCCTTTTGTTTCTTTTTTCTTGTTTTTTTTTTTTGGCTTGGATAATAATATCGGATTGTTTCCTCTCCATCGTCTATCGATGAGACTGATCTGATATAAGATTGCGCTTCCTCTTTTTTTTTTGGTCTCTTGATATATATAGCCTTCCGTCAGGCAAGTTCTTGAACTCCGAATATATATATATATATATTAACGTAAAAGCAGATTCATCTGTCACTCGTTTCCTTTTCTCCTTTTCCCTTTTATATATATATATATATATCGGTTTCCCACATCTTTTTGCAACCTTCACCGCGCGCCTTTTTGAAAGGCCCGTTTTCAAGTAGCATAGTGGCCGTCATAATTAGGGCCTGCCTGCCAGAGCTTTGGAAGTGCTTTTTTTGGGATGGGGGGGGGGCGTTGCGCTGCAGACGCATAATTAAACTAGATGTTGAGAAAGAAAGAATTTTTTTTTCTTCTTTGGCTATTGCAAAGGCGATGGAATTGCATGGTGGAAGAGCGACCTATCTGAAGTAGGACACTTGGTTGAGATGAGACACGGCACCTTGCTTGTCGTGAGGGTTAGCGAGAGCGCGCAGGGAAGACGTCGGCGCGCGCACGGATTACTGATCGTATGATTGATAAAAGTTTGTGAATTTGGTGGTTTAATCATTATTTTATTATTGGAGAAGAGCAAAGGGGGTATGCTTTGCAGCGGGAATTGATATCTTAATGGGACTCCTTCTGCGTCTCGTCTGTTGTTGTTGTTGTTGTTGTTGTGATCATATAGTAGCATAGCTTTTGAATCGCATCTGCGTTGGTGGAGGTGGTGGTGTGGCGGTGGGTGGTGGTATTTACCGGTATATGGGAAATGCAGAAGAGAGAAGAAGAGAGGAGGGAAGAGAAAGAAGGGTGAATAAAAGATGATAATAAATGTAAATGTAAATCTAAATGTAAATCCAAATCCAAATATAATATAACACACTAAAATGAATGCATAACAATCAAGTATCTACCAATTATCCTGGCCCCGATATCTGCAGCACGGATGTGATTGGTGAATTCACGCGTGATGCTTGCGGGTCCTGTATTGTACTGTATTGTACTGTTGCATTGGATTTGATTTTGATTCAATTCAATCAAAGGTATGCTAGCTAGTCGTGCGTATTAAATGGTATTAAATATTGGATTTTGAATTTCGGGAAGGCGGAATGGTACAGTATGGATCTGGTAAAAGATGGGTGAATGAATGGGTGGAATCTGGACTCGGATCTGGCTTATGTCGTTTTTTTTTTTTTTTTTTTTTTGTAGGATGGAGAGTTAAAGGAGTTGCGTTCTTTTTTCTGTTTTTTTAAAGAGAGAAAGTGGTGGAATTTTGAAAATGAATGTGGATCTTGGTTTGATTTCAAGACTGGAGGAAAGAATCAATGATATATATATATATAGTCTCAAGATAGGTAGAAAACCATAAATCAACCCAGTCCCCTCCCAAGCTCGAAAATAAGATAAAAGAAGAGATGCTGAAGTCGAAGCGGGTCCAAAGTGCGCGAACCAAGTTCCGGAGCCCAAGGTCTCACATGTACCGGTACCATTCATTGACTCCATGCCTTCTCTTCTCAACGGACGGTCCACGGACGATGGGTAGGTACTACGTCGCAGGCGTAAGTATTACCCCCTCGAGGATAGGGTAACCAGGGGGTTTGAAGTGGAAACTGAACTTTTCAGGTACGCTCGAGGGGTAATACTTAGACCTGTCCCGTGGTAGCAACGCAGGAACGACATTCGAGTCCAGGCTCAAAGTCAGATGATGCCCAGAGCTTTAGGGCTTTGCTGTAGCCGAGCGAATCGTTGCTTGGCTGGGCTGGCTCCGATGGGGATGGTCATCTCTGTCGTGACGAGCTGGATTCACCGTTCTTTCGGTCTTGCCTGGTTTCCCCCCCCCCACTCGTGAGAATTGCGATCAGGACCTAGATCTTTCTGATAGGCGTTGCGTCTTGTGGTTTTTAGCTGCGATGATCCAAAGTCTGTTGATCTGATCGACGACTTTGGAAATCTCGCTTACCTACCCCTCCCCCCCCCTCCAAAAAAAATAAATGAAAATAGTATCGAATCCAACAGCTTGCGTCGTATGAATTTGGCAGTTCAGACATTCCGGTATTGCCCGCCTTTAAGTATATCATCTAGCACTACTGCGTCGGACTAGATTGTCTACCCGAATCGCCAGGACGCTTCTACCCGTACCGCTGTTGCCTTATTCAGGAGTGAGAATAGATACAGGCTGAGATCTAGGCGGTGAGGGCTGTAGGTATATAGCTAAGCAATAGTAACCCGTCTGTTTACCCAGATTACGGCGTGTGGTAGCACCGTTGATATCCAGGTATAGCGATTTTTCTTCATCGTCACCTGTGGCTTACGTCGATGAGCGGCAGCCTGTCCTGACCTACCACCGATATCAGCATCACCACCCTATGAGAGCTGGACCCTTGATAGCCTATCCGTAAGGAAGACTACACACTTTTCAACACGCTATTATCAAACACAGTCTGCACGAACGTGATAGAGTCTCTTTCATGTTTCCTGCAGGACGTCAGTGGTACATAGTCCGCTGGATCTTGAGTGAATCTGTCATCTCAGCGAAAGCCCCAAAGCCCAATCATTCAAGCTGTGAATCCAGGCTTCCCAAGTCCGGTAGCTGTCACTGGTATGCCAGCCCGAGGATCGCTAGGAGGAGATGATGCTGATGCGTTGACGGCGGAAGAAGACCTGCTGACCTCTTGCGAGGTAGCCTCGCCATGGAGATTGGGTAACGAGCAGTTGCCTAGTACTGTAAGCCCGTAGGTTGCATACCAGCTATGATTGATAGAGCGCCGTCGTCGCTGCATGTAGGTTCTCACGCCTGCAGATAAAAGTCAGCGCACTGACTATTAGCAGCTGGTAAAAGGTGGGAGGAGAGAGCATCGCCACGGGGTATAATAAGGAGTCGAAAGATTTACAGATACGAGGTTGCAGCAGTATACAGAGCGCGCGTGTGGGTTTCGGGGATGAGAGGGAGGGAGGGAGTGGCCGAGGCTGGGTAGAGGTACGTATGTAGTTGTCGTATAGCCCGCATGCATGTACTAGGTATTTACTCTTACAGTACATACCAGTAGTCGTTAATAAGTACGGGTGGCCGATCATCGTCGGTGGTCGCAGCGCACGGGTCTTGGTGCTCACGGGCTTTGATGGTTGGTTCGTCGCCTCGTGTGGAAGGTTTTTTTTGGGGTTCTATTTTGGGAAGTGGGTATGGCTCAAAGCCTAATTGCCCGGACCCCCGCCTGTGGGTGTCAGATCTGGAGATGTTGTGGTATAGCCGAGAAGGGGACAGAGGGCAGATGCTATGGTCGGGTTTCGCTCTCCGACAAGTTATCTTCTTCTTCTTCTTCTTCTTCTTGGTCTTGGTCTTTTCTTACTACGTTTTCTTCTCTTTTCTCTTGACTCTGCTGCTGTATTTCCGAGGTCGAGGTACGGTACCGGTAGCTCTACGCTTGGTTGGGATTTCGTTGGCACAAAGCTTACATCAACACCTGGCCCCCCCAAGCTTTACTGGGATCCCGAGAATGCGGGTCCGGGACGGGGACGGGCAACTTCCGTATACTGAGGATCGGCACACGTCGGACCTGGCTGGTTCTGAGGACTTCCGTACAGAGTAGGCGAGAGCTCGGACGCAGTAGAGATGATGCACTTGCGCCGGGCGTGGGCAGACAGTGAAGGTGAGGCGACTGAGATCCGTCGAACCAGCAACCTGTAGGGTGGGTGAGTGGGTGCGAGACATGTGCGATCCGTGGGCCGCTCGGCATGTCCCGTGTGAGAAAGTCTTGGGAAACGATGGAGTCCGCTGTTGTTGTTGTTGTTATTGTTGTTGTGGTTGTTGATATCCCGCCGGGAAAGAAAACAGACACTACCAGTACTCTGGCAAGCTTTACTCTAGCAAGCTTTACTATTGAGTAACAAACAGCACGCCACGAATCCCGGAACTCGGATATGCATCACTGGGTTGTTGATGATTTCGTGTCTGTACAGTACTCTGTACTCGTACTCTGCACTCTGTACAGTAAGATGCATATGGTTTGGAGATCCTGATGCTTGGCTGCATACCCATGACGGAAGCTCGAGACTACCATACTCTACGTAGTGACGGGCTGATTGAGCGACGACGTGCCCTTAGACTGCGCTTTCCGCATGCCGCGCGCACGGCTGACGTAGAAAGACGACAGGACGCCATTCCTCGTATTTCGAAGCAGTCGACGTACCGTAGAGGCAATTGAATGGAAAAACACCTGCTGGGAGGTTGAGCGATCATCTTCGCGCCTTTTGTTTTGTTGATCAAGTAAACTAACTCCGAGGATCGACCGGCTCGCTTGGCTGCCGAATCCTAAACTTGAGAAAGGACGAACGAAGCGAAAAGACCCCGTTAACTCGGAGACGGGAATCATTGTAGGAGTCGGTAGGGGAAGTGCTCTGATTCGGTCTATTTACGTCTACAACTACCTACAACCACCTACTACTACCGGTACGTACTACTTACTACGTTGTATGTTGATTTGAGGGTGGATGTGTGGCTGGCTGGCTGGCTGGCTGGCTGGCTGGGGTCCTGTCCTGCCCAGTCTTGCCCAGCTCTGCCCTGCTACGCAAGGATTTCTGCCGAGCTTTGCTCCTGCCTGCTTGCCCGTTCCTTCACGTCAACACCAACCAGTCCATGTCCATCACCCACCCACCAACCACACCACCATCGTCGCCGCCGCCGCCGCCGCCGCCATGCAGACGTCTATTACCTGGTCTCGCCTGCCTCCCTCTCCATTCCCATCAGAACCAGAACCAGAACCAGAAGCAGGACCAGGACCAGGACCAAGCTATCATGAGCTAGTGCTTCGCAAAGGCATATTTTCTTCCCCATCATCTGCACATCCAATCCAACCCAACCCAATCCACCTACCACCTACCACCTACTGCCCCGTGGTTGTGCCAATTGGCATGTTTTTTTTTTTTTTGGATCTCATCCATCCTCATCATCCTCCGTCACTCGTTCGTCGATTGATTGATTGATTGATTGATTGTTCAGCTCTCTTCTCTCTTGTCCACGCCATATCCCATCCTGGCCTCAACGGTTCAGCAAGCACTCGCTGGCCTGCACTTCTCGATCCCCAATCCACTCGCCATTATCCCTCTCCTCGGCGGCCATCCCATCCCCACGATGGCTCCAGCTAAGGTCGCCCCAGCGAAGGCTGCATATACCTCCTCTGCCTCTCCGAGACCCAAGGTCGAGAGAACATCAGAGCACGAAGCTGCGGCCCCATCGCTCGCCATGGCACAAGCTCCACGATCGCTCTTCGCCCTCTTCCTCATAGCCCTCCTCGCTATGACGCTGGTGTCAGCATCTCACGGCCATGGCATTGCCAGAGCGACCCATTCCGCCGGGGAGGAACAGATCTTCCAGGAGATGTTGAACTCGGTCGATCCCAAGGCCCTCCGCGGTGTCTTGCTCGCGGCCACAGAAAAGTACAAGCATGGCGTATTTCAAGAGGATAGGAAGGCTATGGAAGCTCTGCACCAGGAGAATGCGGAGGCGGCTACATATTTTTTGGAGCTGGCGAAGAGACAGTCTGGGAATATTACAGCTGTATCGACCACAGAAAGCTCGACGGTAGTCCCCGTTTTGCCTTCAACGCCTGTTGCTGAACCCACTCCCACGGCCCCCGGCCCCACGCCTACAACTCCAACTCCAGGTCCTACGAGCGAACCCCAAAGTCCGAATGTGGCTGTGGATCCTACAACCTTACCCACACCACCCGCCAGCACAAGCCGGAATCAAGCTGTTGAGCCTACAGCCTCTGAAACAAGTCCGGCAGCTCAAGCTCCTGCCTCAGCAACCTCGACAACCAGCCCTGCCGAGGAGCCCGCAACGACCTCAACAAATCCACCCGCTGTGACCTCTGCACCAAATACAGCTCCCAGTACGCCGCAGACATCGCCGGGACAGTCAACAGATGGTACGTTCCTTGGTGGCCCAGCCGCTTATCCCTTTGCCCATCCAGTTTCGATCCCTGCTCTATTGTCAGCGAGCGACGTACAATACAGCGCTTTTGCGCCTCCTGCCGCTCTCTTCTCGTTTGGTTCCTATGTTCTTCTACCGGCGAGCCGGAGCAGCCCGTCGAACTCGTCGATTTCTAGTTTGGTCTCTTCGAGTTTCACGTACGCGCCTCCAGTCCAGACCTCGATTCCGGCGGTCCAAGGCAAGGCTACGGCTCCTCCTACTACCCCCCCTCCCTCTACGTACTCACCTCCAGTCACTCCTCCTTCTTCCAATACTTCTTCGCGTCAAAAAACTACTCTCATCTCTTATTCATCCTGCTGCAATTCTTCTCTGCCTCCTCCTATGACAGCTTTACCCGCTTCTTCTATGGTTCAGAACAATCCCATTTTTTCCAACACTACTTCTCCTTCTAGCCATACGACTGCTGTTACCGCGGTCACGTATGGTCCGATACAGAACATGACGTCCATTTTCAACTCTTCTTCCGTTTCTGATAACTCCACGTCTACGTTTGCAAGCAACTTTTCAAATCCAAAAACTGCTATGTCATCTCCTACAGGTTACTTTTTTAACAATTATACTTCAGGCGCGTCTCCTACCCCCTCCTCTACCGCGGGCTCTCCCGCCCCTCCTTCCTCATCAAATCTTCCTGCTGCCTCTTCTTCTCCACTCAACTCAGTTTCCGGAGCTGCAATTTCCTCTTCTACCGCCGTGATTCCTTTTACCTCCATCCAATCACTAGCAACGGGACCGACTTCATCTAACGCGGCCACAGACCAATCTTCTCCATCTTCAACCTTGCTGACGGAGGCGAGCACTAACCAAAAACCCACAAGCGCTTTTTCGATCACACAACAAATTATCTATACGACTACACTGGTGGGCGGCAAAGCTATAACAGTCACGTCGCTCATGGTCGTGCCAGGTCAGACGGACGGGACTGCGCCGGGACCATCAAAGACCAGCGCGGCGAAGGGAAGCCTGCAGACGAACGCAGGCAGCACGCCTAAGAATGTGGGCCTGGGTGGCGTTCTTGGAGCATTCGGCATGGTGGTTATCGGTGCTCTATAATCGAGCGACACCTCTCAGCAATAAGCTGGCAAGCAGCGAAGAAGGAAATGCGTATTTTTGGGCTTACGGAATTTGATTGGGGTGCATTGCATAGCGTTCGGCGTCTCTGGAAGTAGGCACGATGGGAAAATACCAACTAATGTCTTTCCTTAATGACGACGAAAACAGAAGTCTAAGGTCTGGGCCCTTGCGGTCAGAAGTGCCGGTCCGGGTCAGTGGGTTGAAGTGAATTAGACGGAGCGAGCGGACAGGATGTTGGACCGTGGTGATACCGGGCTGGGATACTTCGCAAGGAGTTTGATCTGGTTGTGAGCAGCAGTGTTATATGGACGCTGGTAATGGGGATGTACATGATGGTCCTGTTAGATATTGTGTGTCTTACGCACTGGCTAAGCTTATACGTCCTAGTTTCCATCTAAGATGGTACAGGCTAATGAATATACAATCAAACTTGAGGGGTTTTTTTTGTATATTTTTTTATTGGATTGTACTGATTTGGATCGCATGTTTTTTGTGCTGGCACAAGAGGTTATTTGTGTTGCGTAGTGCGAATCCCTCTGTCCGAATTCCATTGCAGCAGCTCAGCTGACGCATAGATAGATAGCCGGAAGAAAGATGAAACGCATTTACCACATCCAGGAAAGTGGAGGGATATTTTGTGAAGGCTTGCAAAGTGAAGACCTTCGACTTGTACTCCGACCAGGGGTACGAACAAATGCTAATAGTCAGTGCTATTACCACGGTACAGGCCCTAAGTATTACCCCTCGAGGGTGCCTCAAAAGTTTAGGTTCCACTTTAAGCCCCCTGGTTTCCCTACCCTCGAGGGGTAATACTTACGCCTGGGACGTAGTAACTTGTAGAGTTTTGTGAACGCCGGGGTATCTTCCATTTCCATATGCCAGAGGACGTCAGACTATACAACCATTACCCCCTCATTCCTCCGCGAAAGTATCATTTAAATACCCTACGAAACTGGCCCGGATTCTCTCTCTCGGTACCGCATCCTTCCTGTTGAACGAGATGAATTGTCTCCTCAACCTCTGCAACGCCGGCAGCCCGACTGGAGTACCCGGCAACTCCACAACCAGATCGAGATCCTCGCCCGCCTCTCCCACGTTGACTTCCCCACCTCCCTCCCCGGGATGGTCTCTTGCCCACTCCAGCACCTTGTTTAGAATCCCCTGCGTGGCCTTGTCCAACTCGTAGAGATAGTCCTCGCTCCTCGGTGCCTTGAGCACCGTGGCTTGATTCGGTCGGACGACTTTCTTCCCACCCTCACCACTCCCGACCAGGGCCTCCCAGATGGCCTCGCAAGGCGGCTGCTCGTCCTCCCACGGTATTGTGAAGAGCGGACTGTCCCACCGCGTGAACCCGTTTGGCTCTTCGTACCGGTACACCAGGTTCTCCCAGCACTCTTGATCGTACGGCGCCGTCTCCTCTGCGTCATCCGCAACTTCGGCTCCGGCTCCGGCTCCAGCTTCGGCTCCGGCTTTGGCTTTCGCAAGCCTCTGCTCGTTCACAGCCCTGGCACTGTCCACACTCGCGCCTACGTGCACCACGCAGTGACTCGTCCGCACGGCCTTGGCCTCGCAGTAGAGCTGGTACCGCCAGCCCTTGATGTAGTTTGCGCCATCGAGGATGACAATGTCCCTGTCGCTCAGCACCCGCTTCACGGCTGCGTAGATGGTCGCCCGCGCATCCTTCTCCGAGGCGTTGTTCGAGCGCTCGTGTTGCGTTTTGGTGGAGAGGTTGTAGACGGAGCGGGAGATGGCGAGCGTGTGGTCCGATACGAGGTGCACTCGGAGGCTGGATGAAGGCGATGTGGTGGGGAGAGCGGAGATGTGCGTTGTGAGGTAGGCCTGGAGCTGTTTGGCGCGATGGGTCTTCCCAGAGGTTGGGTACCCCGTGAGAATTATGAGCTAGGTGTTTGCATTTAGCAGTAGAGATTTTTCCGAGGCTGCGAGTTTGAACTTACTGGCATGGTTTGTTTGTGCGTGTGAAGGAAGTCGTGACCGGAAATATGTTTTTGCTACTCGTAGCTCTTGGTGGGGGTACAGCTTAGTCATCCCGGACGGTCTGTCCAACGACACTCCGTCGACTTCAGCTTTGCAAGATATTTTCCGACCACGAAAGCTCTTTCGCCAGATCATCCGACCCATCCATCCTTCACACCTCAGCACAACGTCGTTCGGAGCAAGGAAACCATGCTCACCCTGGGGAAAGGCCTATCATATCCCCCTCGACAGGCAGCGTATTCTCTCCTGAATGATTTGGAGGAAGAAACACTACTCCGGCTGGGGGACTTGAAGAATCCTAACCTCCGGTGGTAAGAGAACATTGCCCAAGTCTAGCTTTCTTTTATCTAATAGCTAACCATGGATGGCAGTGACGCGAGTAGCATCTTCCAGGGAAGGCTTCCAAGAAGAGAGAGAGATTTGCCGCTTCTGCTCCTTGGTGAGGTTGCCAATGCGCGGCCGACGTTGTGTCGACTCCCAAGCTGAAAGAGGTGCTTTGATGCCGAAGGAGGATTTGATGTCAAACTTGACAGACTCCAGCAGATGTTGTATATCCACTTGTCGTCGTGGTTCTTCTTGTTCTTCTTCTTCTTTGATATGTCTGTTTTCTGCATCTTCTGTCAGCTCTCCTGGTCCGCGCTGAGTGGCCGAGGACTGCCGACCAAGGGTCTGGCTAGGATTCCGCTCTGGCTCTTGCTTCAGGGTGGCTCACTCCCTTGTTTCTTTGGAATAGAGGCTTTGCAAAAGTCTGGACTGCTTCCCATAAGTGGGATATGCTATTCTTTTTTCTTCTTCTTTGATTTATCCGCTGTCTAGTAACCTTCTATCGAGCTCAGTATCTTGCACAAGTTTCTGAAATGCAGAGGGCATCTCTGACCTTTTACGGATGGAGGAAGCTTACTTCTCAATCGCTTCAAATGTTACCGTGGTTTTCATGGGACGTTGCTTTTCAATCCTCCATTTGGTTCTCCTGACTCCGCGCCGTTCCGCCTTCCGGCGGAATTTTTTTTGGAAGGGAGGGGAAGGAGGAAACCAATTCCACCGCAGATGCCCGGCGAAATGACCTTCGTTTTTTAAAAATTATGTATCATTTTCCTTCCCAGAGATTTGAACTCTCTCCGCATGCTTCAGTCTGGACCTAAGAAATGCCACCGGCGCTGTCCGAGGAGATATATCTCCTTGTGATAACCCAATTCATATCCATCCAGCCAGGCCCCCCGATTTCAGAGTCGCTCAATTTCACAGAAATCTCTAGGGTTCTTGCCTCCCTATTATAGGGCCCTTCAATGTCATCCTAGGAAACCGAATCGTCTACCAGGACCGGAGTCTGAAGTCAATCCATGTCGCCACCCTTCTCTTGGGACACTGCTTTCCCGTTCCTCGGCGGAACTGTCCTCATATTCACCTCTCTCACGGAGGCTGATCAACACGGGCCACCCGTGTGGGTTGCAAGCAACCATATCCCAAGACAGGTCACTAGGCTGAAGATTAGCGCCAAAATTGCCAAGCGGGGACTATAAAAAACGCGTCGCGAAAGTCAACAGATCGATTTCCCTCCTCCCAAACATCAACTCGACTCGGTCTCGATCTCGACTGAGCATCCGAAAGACAAATCTCGACTTGCCTGACCCAAGGTCACCAAGTGGAGGTACTAGTAACCGGAGTTCAATTGACTCACGACGCGTGAGTAGATTGTTTACATCTGCGCTTGTTGTTTATTTGCTTAATCGCTAACCTTGCTATTGTCCAGATCGCTCGCCGAGCTCCTGCCGGACCGTAATAATGCCGCCGATTACAAGGTAAATCAAAGTCGTTACCCATTTTCGGCCTAGACTAATTGTGACCATAGATCCGGCGGCCCTGCTGGCAAGAGAGTCACCATCATCCTACAAACATCCAGACCTCGTCCCCGATTCATGAAGAAGCTTCCCCCAGAGATTCGCACAATGATCTACAAGCTACTCCTTCCAGGTGAATGTTCCCGAGAGATGAGACGAAATAAGAAAACTAATAAATCTCTCTAGGCCCTCGTACCATTGAAGTAGTCTTCGCCGCTCTCTCCCAAGCCTCCGACCAATCCGCCACCGTGGCCGAGAATACTGACATTTCAGTCAATCTGCTTCAAGACGATGATCCCACCGACCTCGATTTCAAAAAAACAAAATCCAAGTCCTCAAAGCCACCTCCGTACAAGTTCGTCAACACCAATACGGAAAACCGCCTCGTCCTCCACCAAATCAACCAAGAAACCCGCCACTTTGTCCTCGCCCAAGGATATAATGTCATCTTCAAGACACCAACTTCTCCCGGGACTCTGTTCAATTTCCAACAAGATATTCTCGCCTTCACTTCCGCCCTCGACTCTACCGCCGAGCAACGCTTCCGATTCATCGATAAGAAGAGCTTCCAGTTCGACATCGCCCGAATTCAGAATCTGGCTTACCTCTTTTCCTTTTTTTACAGAGAGCTCCAGCGAGTCCACTTCAACCAACCTCGCGCCCGCGTCTTGATGACACGCTTTGCCAACCTAAAAAAAGTCATTATCCCACTGCCGGTGGCACACCTGCAGATGTGTGAGTATTGCCAATCCCAAGGTCAAGGCGGTCAAGGCTCCGTAATTCCCTCCAATTCGATGGCGGCAGGCGTGATCCAAACCGCTCAGAACAATTTTGACGAGCTAAAGCAGAAGTTGATTGACCGAGGTATTGTCTGGCAAGCCCCAACTTCTGTCTACAAAACCCACTGCATGAGACAGCGCTGGAACCTCGATCTGGGTGACCACGAGCCTGACGAGTCATCCTGAGCTTCCGGAGAGTGTCGCACGGGTTTGAGAAGATTGAGACCTAGCCTTGGCTGGAGTCATCTGACTTGCTGACAAAAGGCTGGCCGCTCTAGGATCCAGGACATGACCCGGAAGCCACTCCTCCCTCCTCCAGGACAATGCTTCCAGTGCTTCATGTCACTACTTCGAGTGCCTCTTCACACTTGTTCCCCATGCATGCATACATCGATTTGTTCTCACTACTTCCCATTCATGTTTCCCCATTCCACTGCTCACTTTCTGCGATCTGATCAGAAGATCCATTGCACCCGCATAATTCTTATGCACACACCGGTTTTTCTCACCACTTCCCATTCATGTTTCCTCATTCCACTGCTCACTTTCTGCGATCTGATCAGAAGATCCACCAGCATCCGCATAATTCTTATGCACACGCCGGTTTTTTCTCACCACTTCCCATTCATGTTCCCCCATTCCACTGCTCACTTTCTGCGATCTGATCAGAAGATCCATTGTACCCGCACATTTCTTCCCCCAATTTCCCCCAAAAACGGCGCAGAGAGTCAATTCATGTCTGTAAGAGTATCTTTTGTCTTCTGGCTTCTTTTCAGGACCGCTGCGACTACGGCTATCGGCTGCTAGCTTGTTTGATGACGTTCCAGATGGTGGAGAGGGGAAGGAAGGACGTGAGGGCCACACAATAAATGAATGGAGGCACTAACATACTTTGGTTCCGCTGTTATGTGATTACCTGCAATCCGCCGTGAAAATATTTCTGAAACTTCGAACCTAAATTTTTTGAAACGTCCAGGTCAAATGGAGAGAGATATTTTCCAAGTAATAAATTCCGCACCCACTCTGGTAGCTCTGATTATAGTAGTGAATTGGAGACTAATTTTTGAAATTAAAAAAGGCTTTGATTCTATCCAGTCGCCTGCCTGACTGACGTCCTATTTAAGTTATTAAACTCCACACAAGTCCAAGCCATCGGGCGACGAGGAAGACCCTTTCCTTCCTATGAATATTCTGCTTTTGTTCTCCCGTGTGGGGGGGGGGGAAGGGCTGGGATTACAATTGCTGGCAACCCAAAAACCCGACACCAGATCCAGGAAACAGAGACGAGTAGGTCCCTCTCAGAGTCAAACCACAGCTCCACCAGCAGGCTGGCAGGCTGGCAGTCTGCAGGCACCGACAACGCGGTCCGGTCTGATACTGAAACAGCTCAGCAGCTCAGCAGAGGAGCCGAGCGGAACCCTCTCTCCAAGTATCTCTCTCTCTCTCTCTCTCTCTATCTATCTAGGTAGGTAGGTTAGGTAGGTTAGGTATCTAGGTATCGAGGCCCGCTCGATCGGACGATCGGCCTGGCGGCGCTGATAGACGGTGCCGCTTCTAAGAGCCGACTCTCTCGCAGAGGCTCTCTTCTTTGACCGCGCTCCGTTTCTGCAGGTTCGAGGAAGGAGCTACGGTAGGTACCTAGTCTTGTTGTACCGTACTTGTTTGGAGGATCTCGTTTACTGGTGCTCGAGGCTGGGGAAATGGCTTGGATGGACTGGCGTTGAAAGATTGGAAGATAGATAGATAGATAGAAAGAATATATATATATATATATATACGAATATATCTGTGTACGGAGGGGGGACGGCGAGGTGAGGTACCGGTAGGGCAAAGAGGAGCAGGGGAAGGAGCGGCATTCGCAAGCAAGACCCAGGATGCGCCCCCACAGTGGCCACACCCACACTCCTTCCACCGAGGAAAGGGGGAAAAAAATTCGAAAAACAAAAAGATCGAATGGGATAGATGAGCGCGGAATTGAACCACGGGAAGCTTGATTGGACAAACTGGGAATCGAACCCAGGACCACTCCCACTTCGTGCCGTACGCTGCCCGGCGCCGCCGCATGCTAAGGGAGTATTATACCACTAAACCATATGCCCGGTCAGAAGATCGTTGACGCCGGCGCCCACAGACCGTGTATTATCCCCATTTGTCAAATCCGCATTGTCAATAATGTGCGCATCGGAAGTACCTACATACAGTACTACAAGTCGCGACCGGGGAGATGCGCGAGCAGCTTTTCCGCAGGGAAGGTCAAGAAAGTACTGAGGCGATTTTTGAAATTGGGTAGAAGAAGGATGGATGATGGATGGATGCATTCGAGCTCGTATCTTCGATTTCTCTGGCGCGAGTTGTTGTGCAGGGAACCTCACGTGCTACACGTGTACATGTAGCAGCTGCTCCAGCTCTTCTGGATAGATCAGACGCTTCCCACCACTTTTGCTGATGTCCTGTTCCGTGCTCCACCACTTACGTGTCTACGTACAGATCTCGCACCATAACGAGGGAAGAACTTGAGCCGCGATCTGGCTTGTTTTTCTGATTGTGATGTGCTCAGAAGAACGAATGACTCCCAAATAGTATTATAGCAGACGAGAAAACAACTCAGTCGCGGACGAGCACTCACTCCTGAACGCCGAGAGAAAATCATCAGATACAGCATCTGAGAAGAAAATGACAGTTACTAACAGTGGTGCATTTTCCTGGTATCTATCCATGCCACGCCACTCGCTAAGCGCACTACATGCAACATAATACAAACATGTCCTTCCTTTTCGGACGCCAACCTGAAACGCCATCAGTATCCCTAAGCTCAGTCTGCCCGACTCCGAATGAGTATATCTCTTATCATAGCAGCCCTTCCGTAGTCATATGCAATGTCCGGCAGTCGTGTTCATGCACTATCCATGCTCCCAATCACATCCCTTGCAAGCATCAACTCGGCCACGACCTTCTGCTCAAGCAGACTCACAGTCTTCCCAGTATCTGTCTTTCGCTTGACCATCGCATCCTCCAGCGGGCCCATGGGTAGGATCCGCTCTCGTAGCAACGCCTTCGACCCCAACCAAAATTCCACGTTCTCCAATACGCCCGCTGCGTCCCATTTTACCTCAGGAATAGCAATGCCGCACTGCTTTCTGAATGAATCTAGGATGAAGTGCAGTCCCGCCATATGGTTGGTTTCCGAGCAGACAGTGAAAGTGATGTACTTTTTCTGGCCTCTCGGAACAAGGCGGTTGGTTTCGGGGGCATCAAAGGCCTCCTCGCTCTGTGTGAGCATGAGCGGAAACTGGTTTAGGAACTGTGCTACTTCGATGGCGATGGATCCCTCGACAGCGTAGAGGAGGTTGAGTAGTAAAGGAAGGATGCCAACAGCCCATATTCTGTAGCAGCGTTGTAAGCCGGCACTTTCGGCAAAAGGACTTACGCCTGGACGGCGGAAGTAGGACATGATGTCCATAGATGAGAGCCGGCCCAAAATACCACCGAGAGCGAGTTGTTCGGCCAATGGTTGCACGCCGGAAAGCTCGAGGAGGAAGAGGATGCTGAGCTCACCATAGATGGGATCGCCGTTGATTGCAAGCTTCTCGGACCATGAGAAGAGTCGAATGGCATTGAGCGGTACCTGGTTGTCGATCATCAAGGTCACAATCTGTGCGTAACAGAGCTCGATTCCAGGGATGTGGAGGCAGGCTTGGAGAATACCGGTAATGAGACGAACATCTCCGGGCGACGAGTCGGCGGGTGAGTCGTGTATAGACGAGGCAAGTTCACGGAAACCCATTGCGACGACGTGCTTTAATACATCGAGGACAACGGGAACGATAGGTATCGATTGAGAGCCTCGTCCTATCGACGCTCCGAAGTGTGAATTCTGAGCCGTTCCGTCTTTCTGGGCGTGGATCAGGAGGGCAATGTACAGCAGGTTTAGTAGTGCTCTGTAGTAGATGATGTCGCCCTCAGGTACAGGCCTCTCGAATGATCCTCGGAGGTTGGAGATAGTCGTCCAAACCATTGGCAGGAGGCTCTTCATTTCTGGAATAGATGATTTCGCTTCCGACAGTCGTTGGCTCAAAATTTGTGCGAGTTGTGCGCGGCGTTGGGACAGCGTTGAAAATATCTCCTCCGGGGGTTGGCTTCTTCCATTGGCGACGAGACAGTTGTTGACCACGCTCGCCAACATTGTTTGCAATCCAGGCTCTGTACCAATATACTTCGTGAGTTCAGAGCACAGTCTTTCCCAGCCATTGAAGAGGGCCTGCAGCATGTTAGCTAAATGCGTCTTGAAGTCGATTCAGAACTTACGATTTGAGCTTCGACGAGCGACAGGTTGATGTTTGCGCGCTCAAACTCCACCCGGAGTCCATCTTCTCTATTCCACCCACTGTCGTGTGAAAACATTCGATCAGCAAGGGACATGTCGTAGAACCATCCACTGCCAAGTTCGCGGGGTTGCAGTGTCGTTCGCTTCAAGTCTAGTACCGTACACCCTGGATATCTGTTCTCGAAGTTGCTCTTCAGGCATCCGTGAAGCGCAGAATTATAGGCAGGTACTGCAACAGCAAATCTCGAGAAATAAGACAGGTTCTTCAAAAGATCGATTATCGACAATCCAAACCCTGTTTGTTTGGAGTAGAAGACATGCATCGATAGAATCTCGGAAATGTAAGCCGCAATACGAGTCTGATTGCAATCTCCAATGAGCGAATCAATTCTCCTGTCCTGATGGAGCGGTTTCATGTCCCCAACAAAATTTGAAATGGACTGAATGAACTTCGCATATAGCGGAGAGTTGAAAACAGTCCAAGCTCTCAAGTCTTGAGCTTCGACGACGAACTCTAGCATGGCAAGCTTCTCGGCCGTAGACAGCTCGCCAATTTTAATCAGAGACGCTAAAGCTGTAGTAAGGAGAGATTTTTCCGATGCGCCTAATTCCTTTTCGCCGATTTTGCTTTGCACTGCATCTTTCGCAGTCTTGCCTGTCAAAATGTAGTTGGCAAATCCATGTTGCCGGCTGTTCATGATCATGGATAAAAAGTGCCAGATGGTCTTCAGGTTTTCTTCACGAGACAGAGGTTTGTCGAGATCTGATATGCTGTGAAAGAAATGCTTAGAGGTCTGTGGGCCTAAGTAGCCCAGAAGAGATGCTGGTTGCGAAGCCTCATCTGAGGCCGTTCCAATCAAAATTTCGAACAACGTAACCACCTTGTTTCGGTACTTATCGTTTGCGGCGTACAAACGTGCGACTAGCGAGGATGATTGGAATATCTGGGTCTCAAGCCTGGATGAGGGTAAATCGAGCAAGGCACTGACTCGAAGAAGCACCTGCGAAAATTCAAGCATCGTACAGACCTGGCATATCCACAAGTCTACCATGTTTGGAAAGATTGTGAATTCGGGGGTCTGAAATCCATCAAAAAAGGCCTGTAACAGAGTTTGAAACCTCAAAGTCCCCGATGTCGTTGGCAGAAAGCTTTCGACAAGGTAAATCGCTGGTGCCATGAGAGCCTCCATAACTTTAGGCTTCACTGCCTTCTTTTCACTCATAATTTGCGGCGACCACGGAGAAAGAACTCTTTCGGAAACGGGATTGTCGTCCTTTTCAGGTTCAGTTGACGCGTCAATACCGAATGCATATCTCAAGATCTTCGTGAATGCAGTCCCGATAGTATGATTGATACGTCGACGGTCGTCTTGGGTATTGTATTTCCAGGTCCGCGAGCTTTCTAGTACTTCGTTCAAGTATCTAGCGAAAGACAACAGCACCTTCGACAACGTGTTCTCTGAAATTCCAGTAGAGACATCATGTCGTCTGTTTTGAGAAAACTGCATACGGCCATTACGGCTGATAAGTTGGTCATCACTTCGCCGTCGGATGGCGTTGATGGCGAAATCGTCAACCAAAGCTTCGAATAGATGGCAAACAGACGAGAGGAATTCGTATCGGCCTGAGACAACTTCGATGCCTTCAACAATAGTTGGCAGTCTCGCTCTACCTCTGCCCATATCCAAAAGACCACCACGCGCAATAAGTGGCCAAACACGTCCTGGTGCTACATGTATCTGAGAGTGAATGAAATGTACGCAGCTGACTAGAACAGCCAGTGAGATATTGGAGCCATGACAAGCCGAAATATTCTGGAGCTCTTCCAGGAATATTTCGAAGATAACAGCTGTGATGTCTCGATCGTGACTAAGCCCTGAGCTTGCCTCTGCTAATATCTTCTCTTGTGATTGCTCTGAACCGGTCTTGCTGACCGACCCTGAGCCAGAGACAAGTACAGCGAGCAGTTCAATGATCTCGGCCACAGAGTCCGGGTCGGCGGGCATTCCTGTGGTAACATCGACCACATCACTCGCTGCCAGGTAGGTCTCCAACAACTTCCCAAGATATGCTAACCCGGAAAACTCGTGGAACCACGAAGCGACTCGTGGGCCAGATTCAGAAACCATACGCCCGAGTGTTCCAGCAGGTAGATAAAAATCACTGTTGATTGCGATGAGGGAAGATTTTGCCGTGGCTTGACTCCGGAGAGTATTGAACCGAGGTACGAACAACTGGAGCGGTCTGGTCAGTTGTATAGTATTATTATTCTCTTCTTCTTGCGTGGTTTCGTAGTCCAAGAAGTCCGGTGGCAAAGCGCAGGTGAATTGTCGCATTCTTTCAAGATACTGTTCCGCGATAGTGAGGCCTTCTTTGCTGTGCCGAGGGGAGGCAACAGCTCGCAAAATTTGCAAGAAGGGCAGGGATTCATAAGGGTATCTGGACTTTGCAGTCTCCAAGAAAGCCTGAATCAGAACCTCGTCCTCCGCAAAATTCTCCACCGGATCATCGCCAAGAGGCGTATCCGATTTCAGGAGGTCCCAATAATTCTGTCCGCCTGTGAGGGCGGAGAGAGCAGCTGTCATTATCTCCGGACCGTACCCAGCTCGCGTGCTGTACTTAATAAGAGTAAGCACTGCTGAGCGCATTTGAGCTCCAGTTGTAGAGGAGAAGAAGGCGTCTGAGGTGTTGCCAAACCGGGCACAAAGAGAGCCAAGGCATTCGAAAACACGCGACGAGTCAACAGCAGTTCGAGCAAGATAGTCGACTATGTCATCTTCAAGGTTATCATTTATCTGCTCTAGCACGTCTTTGTATGGATCAGGCAATGACTCCAGATCCACAGGAGCAGCTTGATCGTATCGTGACGACTCTCTTAGTTCTGAGGCCATCATACGCTCAGTCAACGTTGCGAGTATGATAGTCCATGAAAGGATAGCAGGGCCTGCAGAGACGAGACGGTTGTCCGCAGCAAACAACAGAATCGAATTGATCTCGAGTATTGTTTTGGTATTGAAGATGTAGTATCTGTCCATGGGAGCATCGGCCGATACCTGCTCATTAATATTGCTCGACGTGCTTAGTAGTTCCACAGCATTAGCCGGCGCGAGAATTGACACGGATATGATAGCAGAGATTGCCTGCATGACCTCAAGTAACTCCTGGATCGATGCTTCATCCTAAGTGGCCAATCAGTATCTATGACAAGTAATGGCGATACAAACGTACCGCATCAACTCTGCTAACAAATTCGGCGCTCCGCTGGAGTCTGAACCACTGTAATGCCACTGTAGAGGACGGGAACCCAACAACATAATTCAGGATCTGCCAAATGAGTTCCATTGAGTGAATGGCTTCCGTGATTTGGCTGCGGGTCCATTGCCCAGGGTCGTCTCTTCTTCCTTCCTCATTAAAGCAATCGCCCCCGATATTTTGCAGGTTTCTTTCAATGCCAGATATGTAGCGCGAAATTAGGATATCTCCATCCGGTACCAACTTTGTCCTGAGCAGCTGTAAAGAGTCTGTGAGCCAAGGCGGTCCGAAGGCGTCTTTGTCTTTGGGATTTTCCGGGGTGGCCATGGCATCGAACAAGGACTCCAAAATCCATTCCGTACATTTCAGGAGGTACTGCCTCTCCGAGAGGTACTGCCGAAATATTCTCTTCCTCCGGCTTTCTTGGGAATCGAAATCTTTCTGTACATCCTGCGCGTCCGGCCCTCGTATCGTCAACGCGGTGGGGATAGAGCTAGAGTATTTGTTGTTCCCAGCTGAGTCCCGTATATTCACCAGCTCTTCCTCTGAAAATGGGCCTAGAAGTTGAGCTTCTGCCCGCGACTGGTACTCCTCGACCACTAATCTCAGCGCAGCTACCTCCTCAATCTTGGTCGCATTGCTGAGCCAGAGCGCATCCTCCTTGATCTCCTGGATATTGTATTGCGTATTGGCGGAAGGGGTAACGTTTATCGGAGAGGTCTTGGTATCGAAGGCATTTTTACTCTGTGGAGAGGGTTGCGGAATGGTGAACGGGTCCACCAATATGTTTAAGACTTCTTCATCCTCCAGAAAGCTCTTTAAAATGTTTGAGGGAGGTTTAATGAGGGCTTCGTTATCCTTGACTGCAGAGAAGAGCAGCTTCCAGGAGCTATACCATTCTGTGAGCAGCGTAGGGCCAAAGACGAGTGCTTACTTACATGAGAAGCTCGTCACCACTGAGACATTGGTCCAGAGAAGGGAAATAACTGGACGCAGGTATCGGGGCCATTACTACCAAGCTCAGCAGAGCTGAATGTGTGGCAAGGGTTTTCGTGGAGCATCAAAAGAGCTCTGTCGTGGAGGTGACTCTGTTGCGAGCTGGAGCTGCTCAGGTACGCGACAAAGCGCAGAGATGGGCTGCAAGTTTGAGCTTGTGGGGCAGCGCGCGCTTATTCCTTATCCTGGTGCCTATCAGCCGCGTTTGCCGCCGCCGATCCGGAGTCACCAAGTGCCCCTCAAATTTCTTGGAACTTTCTGGAGTAGACTCACAATATTGTCCGCTCTTACAATGGCCCTCGACCTCATTGACCATTCGCCCCAACAGCCAGATGCTGCTCCACCTCTGGAAAACGCCTCAAACTTGGTTCTAATCGACAATTTTGACTCATTTACCTGGAACATATATCAATATTTAGTACTTGAAGGCGCAACGGTCACAGTCTACCGTAACGATGCTATCACTGTGGAGGAGCTTACAGCACTGAAGCCAACCCAATTGGTTATCAGCCCTGGTCCAGGTCACCCCAGAACAGACTCTGGAATCAGTCGGGACGCTATAATGCACTTTGCAGGCAAGATACCTGTCTTAGGTGTTTGTATGGGACAGTGAGTCGCACAAACTGGTTGATCTGTATGTCTTGCTGACTCTCTGCGGACAATGCATGATCGATCTCTGGGGTGGCGATGTGACCTTTGCGGGAGAGATTTTGCACGGAAAAACCTCTCCTTTGCAGCACGATTCGAAAGGAGTTTATGCTGGCCTACCGCAAGATCTCCCCGTTACACGATACCACTCCCTAGCTGGCACTCATCCTACTCTACCAGAATGCCTGGAGGTCTCGTCCTGGATCGGATCGGGCCCGGATAGCGGCAAAGGAGTCATAATGGGCGTCAGACACAAAGAATACGTTGTAGAAGGCGTCCAGTATCACCCGGAAAGTATCCTCACTGAAAATGGTCGTGTCATGCTCCAGAACTTCCTCCAGATGCGTGGTGGAACCTGGGCAGAGAACAGCCGTCTACAGAAGGAAGCCGCTGGGCTGAGTAAACAAGCGATCGGGTCCAAGAGCGAAAACATCCTGACCAATATATTCGCCCACCGAAAAGCCGCAGTGACAGCGCAGAAAGAGATTCCTTCGCAACGGCCATCGGATCTCCAAGCAGCCTATGAACTGAATATTGCCCCTCCCCTCGTACCATTCGTTAGCCGTCTCCGCAAGTCACCCTTCCCTCTGTCTCTGATGGCTGAAATCAAGAGGGCTTCTCCGTCGAAGGGTATCATATCAATGTCCACATGTGCTCCAGCCCAGGCCAGAACGTATGCATTAGCTGGCGCAAGTGTCATCTCTGTACTGACCGAGCCTGAGTGGTTCAAAGGCAGCATCGACGACCTCCGCGCTGTTCGTCAGGCGCTCGAGGGGATGCCAAACCGACCCGCTGTCCTTCGCAAGGAGTTCATCTTTGAGGAATATCAAATACTAGAGGCGCGACTCGCTGGCGCTGATACAGTGCTTTTAATTGTCAAGATGTTGGACGAAGAAACCCTGACCCGACTATATCACTACTCACAATCGCTAGGCATGGAACCTTTGGTCGAAGTCAATACAGCCGAAGAAATGTCCATTGCTGTCAAGCTTGAGTCAAAAGTCATTGGTGTGAACAACCGCAACCTTACCAGCTTCGAGGTAGACCTTGATACTACTAGCCGACTGCTTGACCAAGTCCCAAAAGAGACAATAGTATGTGCTCTTAGCGGAATTTCGGGCCCCCAAGACGTGCAAGCATATCAAAAGAATGGAGTCGGTGCCGTTTTGGTCGGCGAAGCTCTTATGCGTGCCAAGGACACAGCAAAATTCATCCGTGAACTTCTTGGGAGCTCAGTGCCACTTCTGAAATCATCACCACGGCCTCTTCTGGTGAAGATTTGCGGCACCCGAAAACCAGAGGCAGCTGCTGAAGCTATCAAAGCAGGTGCAGACTTGATAGGAATGATACTTGTGCCTGGGAGAGGCAGACACGTCCCCTATAAAGATGCAGTCGCTATATCGAAAGTCGTCCACGAATCACGGGTCACCACCGGAATCGTTGTTAGTGATCGCGCGGGCAGCCAAGCCTCTGATTTCTTCGCAAATGCTGCGTCAAACATTTCAAGCCATCGTCCATTGCTTGTGGGTGTTTTTCAGAACCAGCCACTAGAGGAGATCTTGGAGCTACAAAAAGCATATGAACTAGATATCGTGCAACTTCATGGCGACGAGCCTCTGGAATGGGCCAATCTGCTTCCAGTCCCTGTCATTCGAGCTTTCATGCCCAACCAGCCCGGCCTTGGCAGGCGTGGCTATCACACTGTCCCACTGCTTGATTCTGCATCTGGTGGATCGGGCCAGAAACTCGATATCGGCGAAGTTAAGAGCGCTCTTAAAAAGGATTCAGGTCTCAGGGTTATCCTTGCCGGTGGTCTAAATCCTGACAACGTAGCAGACGCTGTCAGATCTGCCGGAGAGCTCGGCGACAGGATAATCGCTGTCGATGTATCTAGTGGAGTTGAAGAAGACGGTATCCAGAGCATCGCGAAGATCCAGGCGTTCATTAAGGCGGCTAAAAGTGTTCGTTAGACAAAAACTACCTAGCTTTGTTAACGAAGTTACGGCTTACGAGCAACCCATTTCCTTGTAATATCGAATTTTTTTACTTGATATGTGTTTTGTATTCGTTCTCGATTTTTCGCTAGCTGTGGTCTCCCCAGTAAGACCACTCATTGTCTTCATTACTGTATTCCGTTCTCAAGTTATGCTCTTAGATCACGGCACAATTGTGCACATTCTTGTGTCCTGATAATATCTATGGCCATAATCTGTGCGCACTTTGCTGAATACAAAGGCCATGATTTGATTCGGTCAAAAGTCACCGGTTTTTAAAGGCAAAGTTTTCTTCTCCGAAAATCCGTGGGCGAATTCTGCAATTTGGCTGGGGTGCAAGGCGGAGGCTAAGGGCACATCAGAATATTAAAACATTTTCCCCTGACATCCAGCTAATAGGCTCACTTGTCTTCGTTGCGGAGCTCGTTGGGTTTTTGCTACATTGACGGGCAAGTGCCGGCGTGCCCTCTGCATTTTACGCACCTTAGCCCTCGCCAAGTCTAACCGAACAGACCCTCGCCTCTCAGATGGAAGTAAACACAGGTAGGTACACAGACCAATTGAATTAAGACCCACTTCCTCCCCCAACTACTCCCATAAAACCAGCACCCCATCAAGTGTACGATTCTCCACAACATTTCTCTCTTCTCAGCAACTCCAAACACAGAGAACTTCAAGCAAGTTCTGCAATCTTTCAGCTTGGTTGCTTTCCATCCGCACACAATTGCTATCACGCGTACATACGCTCCCGTTTTCTACCAAACATTGAGATTTTCCCCTCAGTCAGGAAATTCATACCTTTCACCACATTTGAAGCAAGTCTTTCCTCCATATCACCGCACAAGATTTTTCAAATCTGTTCATTTCAAGCTGTTTTTTTTCTCTTGCAGGACCAAGCAGGAAGGAGCATTTCTATCTTGCAGTTTCTTAGCACTTCGCTTTTTGGGGAGGTTTGCATTCGGCTTCAGAATCTTGGTCGTCAAGTCTATTTCAAGAATTTGGAAGCGAGACATCATCCTACTCATCCCATTCCATCACCTTTCAACTCAAATCTTACTCGCCTTTACTGAATTTTCTAGATTGCCCATCTATCAAGCACCTTAGTTTCCAGGGGCATCGACAAGCTCCTTTTACGACTTCATCAGTAGCCACACTACATCTCCAGTATCAACAACGATTCTTCACTTCATCGCACCTCACCATCCATATGCAGCTTCTCGGCCTCTCAGAAGAACTAGCAGGACTCACATCAACGATAAACGTATCACTCTACAACATCGTCCCTGAACAAAGTCAACATCATATACTCAGACATTGCATCTGTCCCTCTACTACCGCCATTCTCAAACTCCACGTCAACTTCTCCGACTATTTCAAAATGCCTACCCGTCAATCCCTCATCGCTTCTCGGGCTACCAGCAACAACAGCAAACGTGCCGCCCGCACCAATGCTCCTATCAAGGAACCCGCCCCTGCTCCCCTACCTATCGTCCAAAAAGTCAAAAGCGGCCGCCGCATGAGGCAAATCTTCAAAGGCCTAACCATGACATCTGTCGGCACTTACCCCGGCTCTAACAAAGTCCTCACCGGGGACGACGTTAGGAATTTCGTCACGGCTCATGGTGGGATTTACGAGAGAGAAGTTACGGCTGAAACCACGCATCTGATTTGCTCGATTGAGGAGTACAAGAAGAGACCTAAGCATGGTATAAAAATCCATTCCCTCCAATCTGGCCCAAAGCTGTGGACATACAAAAGTATCTGGCTGACTTATGTGAATAGTCTGTGACGCCTGGCAACTCGGCACCGAGCGGTGCAAGATTGTCGTATTCGACTGGCTCGAGGACTGCCTTGTCCGCAAGCAGAAACTACTCCTGAGCACCCGGCCCTACACGCTGGACCGCACCATCATGCAGCTCAGGAAGCGCAACGCCAAGGACATGACAGAGTACCGCAAAAAGTTCGAGGATGGGGTCAAAGTTTCCAAGGAGTTGTGTGACAACCGTGCGTTTCCCCCCTCCCATCCCATTCCCTTCTTCGTCCGAAAATTAGATTGAGATGGTGATGGACAAGCCAGGATGGGGAAGATAGGGAAAATACATGTTTACTGACGTGTCAACCTCCAAAGGGCTCTACCATGTCTACTACGACGCCGACGCGTTCGAGTACAAGGTCATGCTTTCGCGTTTTCGCCTGGATGGCAGTACGATGATCGAGAAATACACACTCTTTGTACGTCTTCTCCCTGTCCTGTCCCTCATAGGGCTCCCCATCTCACACCCCTTTCGTCTCCCAGCCCAGCTAACACTCACCTACCCGCCCCCTCAGCTCTTCGAATCTCACGCCAAAGCGCCCCCGCTCTACATGTTCGGCGCCAAATTCTCGCGCACCCACCGCCCGACCTCCTACTACCGCGAGGACTGCCACCCGATGGTCTTCTCCACGGCCTTCAATTGCTTCAAGAAGTTCTTCCGGGAGAAGTCCGGCGTGGACTGGGATCTCCGCCTCGAGCGCCTGAGCCCCAAGACGGACGCTCACGGCAACGAGAAGGTCTTCTTCAAGTACAGCCCGCCCGCGGGCGGGAGACCGGTGGGCCTGCTGCCGCCGGGATACGTGCGACCAGATGATCGTCCGCTGGCGCAGCCGGTGGATGCAAAAGCTGCAGATATCATCGAAGTCTACGACACGGACAGCGAGGCTGATTCCGACAACGACGGCGACGGCGACGAGTCCGGATCGGCTTCTAGTCAGACCCCCACGCAAACTTCCGCCTCCTCTTCTGACCACACCGATGAATCCGGTTCGATCAGCAGCAGCAGCAGCAGCAACACCGCTCGCCCTGACAATTACAATTACGATCAAAATCGCAATCCCAATACCGACAACAATGCCGGCAACGATAAGGGCTCCATCATCTCCATCTCCTCCGACACCAGCTCAGGCGAAGGCTCAGCGAGTAGTGAAAATGGCATCGCTTCGACTTTTGGCTCTGGGAACAGTGGGTCGGACAACATGTCCTCGAGCGAGCTGGGTGAGGGCGAGCAGAGAGCAAAGGAGCAGGGCGTGAGCTATGGCCAGGCGCTCGCTGCCAAACCGGTGTCGATCAGCAGCGATGAGGAGATGATGCAGAATCCTATGTATTGGCAGTAGGGGGGTAGTCGCGGCGCGGGTGGGATATCTGGTGTGGGGTGAGTTAAACACATGGTGGCATTTGGGGGACGACTGGGCGTTTAGGGGGGTGGATAAGGAGTTTTTGACTCTTCGCGATGGCATTCCTGATTATGTGAGGATTTAATGGGGGCGAAAAATCTATCTGAATGTTTCGGTATCGCGACACAGAAAGGAAGGGGCGGGGGAGGGAAGGGGGAAGACATTTACATACAGATTTCAGATCACTGGCCTTTCAACAAGAACCAGCTCCCTAAACACTTACATTTCTGCGCAACAGGCGCAGATACCATATAAACAGGCATTCCCCAATGGAACATACATACAATCCTCATTAAGAGATAATCTGAAAGCCCCATGGTATCTGCTCAAAACGCAAGTCGTGAAAGTGGCTAAATAGTCAGCGGCTAGATATCCAAACTCCTGCACCTCGCTAATCACAATCCCAAGCCCATTGCAACCAAACGCCCCCTCACCACCCTGCATCGATCTTTTAAAATCGCAGCTTCGGCATAGCAAACACCAATAGAATCGCCACTACCCCTAGCCCCGCGATCCATGCATACATCAACATCCTCCCCCACCACCCCTTCCCCTCGGTCATCGTCCTCAGATACCCCATCCGCCTCTGCGCGGCCTCTAGTCCTAGCTCATTCTTTTCCAGCCCTTTCGTCGCGTTTTCTAGCACGGGTTTCTCCTCTTCGAGAGAGATGGCGAAGGACCGCGTGGATTCTTTCATTTTCGTGGCAAGGGAGAGGAGGGAGGCGGTGATGGCTTCCTGTTCGGCGCGTTGGTGGCTGAGAAGGGCTTCGGTGGTGGCGGTCGATAAGGAGTCTGGGTTTGAGTTGCCGGTGCTGTACGAAGAGGGGGAAAGTAGCTCGGCACGGAGGTCTTTGTGGCGGGCGCGGAGGACAGAAGGGGGTTCTGGTTCCGGTAGTGGTTTTGGTCTTGGTTCAGGGTTGGTTGTATGCTCTGGGGCCGGCGCTTGTATTTTTGTTTGTGATTGAGGGGCCAAGGCAGGAGATATCGGTTCTGTGGGAGATGGTGTGGCGGATGGGACGTCGGCGTGAGAGTCGGTTTCTTCAGAGGGGGTGTCTTCGCCCAGTAGGTCCTCGCCTTCAGAGGAGGAATCGTCTCTCGAATCAAACTCGCCGAGCTATTTCGCATTAATATCTGGAAATCCGGATGGGAAGCAGGGGGGGTTACCTCTCTCATCTCTTGCAACCGTTCACTGAGCCGTAGTATCAATTCTCGCTTCTGTACCAAATCCGCCTGGGTTTCTTGCTTCCGCGACTGCACTTTGATCTTTTGAGCATCTTGCTCGAGCCGCACAAGTAAAGCCCGGGCATAATCTAGATTCTATCCGCATACAAGTCAGAAAATCTACCGAAAGATGTAGATATGTAGGATCCTTACAGTACCAACTTTGTCCCTCTCTAAGCTTGTCTGTAGCCTGCGTTCCGTCTCAGCATCTGGCGTTACGAGGGTTTTATGTAGTCGGGAGAGCAGACGAGTGAGGTTCACTGCTGTTGGATCGGGCGCATTTGCTGAGGATAGCCGGGCCATGGTTGTGATTGTGGTTGTAGCTGCAGTTGTTCGGCGGGAAGCAGTTCGGTCTGCCTGGATAACAACCACGGGGCTTGATAAGGCTGCCGTGGCAGCTTGACTACTTTTAGTCTAGCGCATCAGTTCAAGATAAAAAGTGAGCTCGACTCGAGCTTTTCTCTTCGACCATCCACAAACATCATCACAATCCGGTCCTGAAACCGCGTTGACAGCGACGATGACACGTCTCCCAACCCCCAAGAGGCGATGAGATACTGATACCAGGTTTCAAGCTCCTGTATGAATTCGCTGAACTAGCTTTCTTCTTCAACTGCGCTGCACAATGATCGGTGCGTAAATGTGCTGGACAATCAACATAGCACCCTGATCTTTGCCTATGGATGCATTGATGGGTAAATGGGCTCGAGGAAACAATCCGATCAATCCGTCGTCACCATCGTCGTGCGAGACGATGAGGCAGATGAACCGACTGTCGGCGAGCTTCTGATTTAGGTATGCACTTACTTCATGCTGTCTTCCCTCCTCGCTATGATGATACCGTTCATGCACCACTCATACAGCCTTCGGGTCGGTGATGAGAACCAATACCTAAATTTAATCTGAGCAAGATCATGCCCTCTACCCATACTTTCTATGTTGCCCATTATTCACGTGCTAACATTCTGGAATGAAGATTTTAGATACTGTCTCGAACAACAAATAGATCTTCTCAAAACATATCGTATTGCCATTGTGCATTCTCTTCGCGTTGGCTCTGCTTCTACCCCCAATATATCACAGAATGGGGAATCTCGTTTCCCATCTGAGTGCTTTCCCGGACCAAGCTGTCGGGTATGCAAGACTAGAGCCAACCCTCTCAAGATTGCTATAACTTCTATTCCCGGGTCGTGCAAGAGCACAAACAAGATCGAATCCCGCATCCCCTGCATTCGCAAACCTCGCACTGAGCAGTGCAGCCTGGATCCCCCGCCGCCGAAATACAGGTATCTTGCTATCAAAAGCCATATGAGCAAGGCCTCCAAGAGAGGTTTCAATCAGAGCCATCCCCGCTGAGTCTGCCACCTTCCCGTCAACAGTCGCGACGTAGTCAGTGGTATCGCCACGCAATATCGCACTAGGAGCAATCGTTTGGGAACTGTCTCAGCCCGGCATAGATCTTGATACCCATTGATCGACTTGCCTCACAAATTCCTCCGCATCTTCAGGTCCAACACGGGATATCTGCACCCCTTCCATCTGTTCCTCAGTTAACTCTTCACCGCTGAGGACACGCGCACAGCTGTTGAGAAATCTATCGACCCTATGCCCTTTCCAAAACAGCAAATCCAGCGCTCATGTATCGGTTATCGGACAGATTTGCACGCTCACATCCACTCCATTCTTCACGAACATAGTCTCTACTTCACCAAGCTTCTCTTTAGATATCGATCCCCCCATCCCGTACCCGACGACTCGATTCAACTTCCGTCCGAAGTTGGGGGGAGTAATTGCTGCTACGCACGCTGTAAGACTAGGCCCTAACTGAATTGCGGTTGTTTTATAGTCTGGGAACAGCTGGGCACATGGTTTGCTCTGCTGGAGGATGCGGATGACGTCCGCTTCTTTGAGTCGCTGGGCTGTTTTGCGTGAGGTGAGTAGCATTTTTGCGTTTGGTGTTTGCCGGGGAATTCCGAGATGGCAATTCGAGACATCGAGTAATCGTGATGGTGTTTATTAAGTTTTTTTTTTTTTTCTGTTCCTTATATACCTTTTTATGAATTTTTACGTTGTCTATGGCATGAAGGCCTATGGATCTTCCGTATTCCCTCCTTGGCAAGTTGACCTGTGTGTTTGAGAGAGATATAATGATAAGCCCAGTTCAATTCTGACAGATCATTATTCAAAATTATATCTTATATTGATAGTAATTACGAATGGAGGCAAGCCATACCGAATGGAGCAGGTCAAATCGAACAAAACGGTGCCACATACATTGTCATGTATGCTCCAGTCTTGATCGAGAAGCTGAACGATACATCGCTTCCACTAAAATCATGCCCTATCCGATGATATAAGCTTCCAGTTGAGTATTGCAATTTTTTATTTATTTTTTCTCGCAATTTTTAAAGGCGCTGGGGGCAAGGGAGCACTACCGACTTCCGACTTCTTCATGTTGGAGAATATGTTTTTTCGAGCGGCCTTCAGCCAGTTTTGCTTCGTTTGATATTCTTCTGTACATCGCTTGCGGTTCTGGGATCGTGGATATACCAAATCCCGCGATATGCAAAAACGATATTCTCGCACAATCTGAGCCGCCGTATCCATCTTATATCTACTAATCCCCTCGTCACTTTATTTTTCCTCCACTTTTCTTCGTTCTATTCAACTCTCAATTTTCCCTCTCTTGGCGAACATCTGCGCTAGGCTAAGTTTCTAGCCTCCTCCGGTTGTTCTACCATCACTGTATACACTATATTCGAAGTGCGCTTGGGAGCTCGAAGGACCAAATTAGGAAGGTACGCGGGGCTGAGAATCGAAGTGCTGACAGAAGAATTTCCGAAGCCAGATTGAAGTAGTCGGAAGGCATGGTTGTTGTTTTTCTAATTGTAGCAATTTTTCTTTCAATTTTTATACTTCCAATTGTGACGATTGCTCATCCAATTGCTTCTCGTCCGATATCTCCACTTCCAATTGTACCAAATATACCGACTGTACCCCTTCCAATTGCTCCATTTTCATTCGTACATCCTCATTGCACCACTTCTAATTATACTACTAGTTTTACTTTTTCCACTTGCACCCTCTTTCAATTATATCAGTGGGTCGGTATAGGCAATTTGCATAGGGCGAATCGGGCCTTACGTCATTGAAGCTTGGAGTCGTAGCAATCGTGGTCGTTCACCGATAGGAGAACCGGGAAGAGTATATTGGGTTCGCCTAGTATCGTTGCGTAGCCTTATGCTGAGGTTCTGGAAATTTTCGAAGTTGAGGGTCTTCAAGGTACACGCCGTATACGGACAAACGGTTACATAAATGTGTTAACGCAAGCAAGTTACTTAGCTTGAATTAATTCTTGAGTCCAATCCTCCCTCTCGCTTATACTAGGAAGCGGGTTGTCACTTTCGTGTATAAGACAACCTGAACGGACACTAGATATCTACAACCACTCACCAACCACATATACTCAAGGAGTATTACGCATTGGAGGTGGAGCCAGAAGTCGTTGCAAAGCATGCCCGTTTTTCCCCATGATCACAGCGCAAAGGCGTGTGTGTATATATGATTAGCCGGCCGCGCTTACGTATGTATGTACGTATGTACCGGATGCAGTTTTTCCAGTAATATATATCCTAATGAGCTAGCTGATTGATTGGTAGTTGCTAGTTGGTGTGTGTGTGTCCTTTGGTATATTAATAGTCGTTGGTGTGGGTGTAGTGTGGTCGTGATAATGGTGGTGGGCTTTTTTGATTAGCAAAAAGTAGGGGGGATGGATGGGTGGTGTTAGGAATTATATATACGAAGTGAAAAGGGAGAAGATTCGCTAAGCGAGAACCTCGAGTGCAAAGGTACCGAAGCGAGCCCTTGAATTATCCCCCACAAGTACGGATTGGAGGTATTTCAAAAAGGCCACGAGAGAGAATGCGGTCTATTGTATCTGCAGTATAAGCTATCTACTTAGCTAGCCAGTCTTGACGTCCGTTCGCTTCTTCAGCGCCAGCTTCACGTACTTCAGCGGCGCCAACGTGACCGTGCCCGCTGCCAGGTGATCAATCTCCCGCTTCACCACTTGGGGATCCATACCCTCGCCGAGAACGATCCGGTACTCTCTCAGGACCGTCGCCAGAACGCTGATGTACTCCGACTGCGTGAACTTCCTCCCGAGGCAGGCGCGGGCGCCACCGGAAAAGGTCATCAGCGTTCCTCTGACCTGCCTCGAGCGGTCCGACGCGACGACCTTCTTGTCGGTGCGCTCGTTGGGAGCTGCCCCGATGATGCCCATCCATCTCTCGGGCTTGAGAGTCCACGGATCCGGCCAGTACCGCTCGTGGTAGTGGACCGCGTTGACGTTGAGGTACACCCGGCACTCGGCCGGCAGCACATGCTGTCGGGGGGGCTTCTTCTCCGGGTAGACGGTGATGGTGGTCTCCTTGGGGATCATCTTCGTGATAATGCAAACGCCCGGGTACAAACGGAATACTTCGTACATGAAGCCGTACGTGTACTGGAACTTCTCGAAGTCGTCCGTGTAATTGAGCGAGGTGCGTCCTTCGGCAGCTGCCGCGGCATAGACCCCATCGACCTCTTCAATAATCCTGTCCTGCAGATCCTGCCTGAGAGCCAAGGTGATGAAGCCGTAGGACATGGCGTTCGCGGTAGTCTCATAGCCCGCGAGCAGGTACAAGAACAGATTGCCGAGCACCTCGTCTTCGCTGAAAGCTTGCTTGCGGCCGGCAGCCTTAGCCTCGAAGGCTGAAGCGCGCAGGACGGATGTGAGGAGGTTCCCCCTGGCGTCGGCAGATTCGTACTCGCTGTCTTTGCTCAGGTTGGCAGTCTCCGTCCGGATCATCTCGCGCATGTACTTCTCGAGCTCGCCGTGTGCCGCCGCGATCTCCCTCATGCCAGTCAAGTTCATGATCCATTTGGGAATGAGAAGAATCTTGACCATGAACGTCGTGACTAGGTGCAGAGCGTGATGCAGGCTCATGGTGTGTCCTTGAGGAATTTGGCTTCGAAGATCGGAAACTTCGGCTTTGAAGTCTAGTCTTTTGCCGAAGCCCGTGTAGGCAATGACGGCCAGAGTCAATCGATTGATATCAAGTGAAAGGTCACGGGTCGTGTTTTCCTGAGACCAGGACTCTGTGAGCGCGCGTGCTTGGTCGGAAGCTTCATTCCAGACTAGATCATTGGCTCCGCTGCCATCGTTGAAGGGAGGTGCAGTAATGCGGACGTGGAAATTGTACGCTTTGCCCTCTGTAGTTGCAACATTCGGTCCATATGGCTCGAGCACCTCTGAAAAGAGCCGTCAGTGAAAGACGCTCTTGATGAATAAGAATGGCGTTGAACTTACTATATTTGTCTCTTGGCTTTAGGAACTCGTTTCGTCTATTCATAACATCCCAGCTCATATCGGCGTCGGCGCTATAGCAGACGAGGCCCTCCGGCGATACGACAATGAAAACATCTCCAAGCTCCTCGTGAACCCTGCGTTTCTCTTCCCAAGCCCAGTCGAGGACGGAAAAGCGAATCCAGCGCGGCCAGCCCTCGCCTCTCGAAAGTCTTTGTGTGAATAAGGGGCGGATGAGTGGAGTCAACAGCTTTGCGAGGAACTCAGTCTCGAGTAGAGGCACGATGGTATACGGCAAACCCGTCTTCCTGGCTTGGCCGATGTAGTACGCCAACTTGACAAGCTTGTAGAGGATGAATAGCAGTAGGACTGTGACAAGAGAGCCTGAGGCGTCCATAGTGAATTTCTCTGTACGGGTGGACGAGGGATCAAAGTCGAGCGTGCAAGCCGACAGCTGGCCATTCTCTATAGACGTCTGGCCGCTCTGCCGGTCAGCTCGGGGCCAGGCCACTTATTGACCATGCCCGAAGGAAAGGTCCGGACCAGCGCCGCACGTAACCCAGACCCATTTCACGTTTGGATTGCGCAATGCCCCGAGACACTTGCAGTCGTTTGTTGGTGCTTCGTCTGTCTGCATTCGCTCGCTTAGCGCAGCCATGTACACCTACCAGTGCGTATTCCGGCCTGTATCTTGATGGGAAAGACGACCCAGACAGATCTTCGCTATGAAAACCGAGTAGGTGTGTCTCTAAGTACGTACAGGTGCCGTTGGTGATACCTAAGCTGTCGCTAAAATCTGACTTGCAGGCTGAAAGTGCTGCAGTCAGACCGGAGCTGCCCAGTCCTCCCCCACCTACATAGCGATCAGTCCAACGCCCGAAGTGACACGGGGAGATAAAGCAATCATAGGTACCTATCAACAGCCCAGCTCAGCTCAGCTTACGCTCACACCCATCGTCTGCTCCAGCTTACGATGGAATCTCCCACGAAAGACGACGCTGCCACAACCGACACCGACCCCCTCCCGCGTCTGGTGCACATAGGCGAGATCGAGTTCCATCTGGGCGAAGTGACCATCGGCCGCGAGACGCCGCGAGGAACCTTTCTCTTCTGCCCCATCACCGGCGGTGAGTTTTGACTTGCTCAATCATTATCATCATATATCACGTGCAAATATATACTTTTTCAAAAAGGATAAAAATATATACATCCTCGCTTAACACTATTTACTTATGTATTTCAAACAGGACACTTCACCACGGTCTTTCCCCTCCCCTCCGGCTTCGGTATCCACCACTCCACCGCAACCACCGGCCTGCGAGCCGAGATCCTCCCTGGCGGCGGAGACTATCCACTCATCCATGACGGCGAGCGAGCCGAGCTGAATGTCAGCGTTGTCGCGAAGAGCCTTATTAACAACAACAACAACAACAACAACAACAACAACAACAACAACAACAACAACAACAACAACAGCGATGGAGACAAGAACGCACGAGACATTTTCCGCATCACATCCTTCGGCGTTTGCGAGTGGAATGACCTCGTCTTCGACATGATGGGCCAGGCGGCCGGCGCTCGCTCGACGCAGCTGGGCGAGGTCAACGCGTGGCAGGTCTTTCGCTTCAACACGGATAGCCGGGAATATGCCTGGCTGAACTGGGCTTGCGTTATTGGGCAGGAGAGGCTGCTGTATGAGGATGGGATGATGGCCAAGACGCAGATGAAGCTGTTCCAGTTCTTGGTTAGATAGATATAAGTAAGTCCTTGGTTATTGCTTAGTTGATTGGCAATGTATTGGGGGTGGGGTGGGGGGGAGGTTGAGAGAGATGCTTAGGTAAATAATGGCTGTACAAGGGGATTGTATGTCTAGCTGTAGGTAGAATACATTTCTATGATAGCCATTTATCTTCGTTCATTCATGTAACTGGTGTTAAGCCTGCTGTTGTTCATCTCAGATGGATTCTGCCCAGGAAACGCCTCCCAACTCGTCTGTTCCCCAGCACTTTCCGCTCTACTCCGTCCCGTTTCAGCCTTCAGACCTAGAATTTCAGTCAGCAGATTCCCGATCTAATCACGCACCAAGTTTACTTACTACCTCACTCCTACATCCACAACTTAAGAATCCCGCATCACCCCTCACCCCTCCCCATCCAGTCAAGCATCCGTCCGCATCGCTGTTCCACTGAAGCAGTAGCCCGGCTTCATCTTCCCAGGCAGCAGCATCTGCATGTACACAACCAGAGCAGTACAGAGACATCCATAGAATAGCGAGAGCAGATAATCCCGTCTGGTCAGCGGCGGGCCGGAGATAGGTGTTCCCACGTGCATCATGCGCTCCATGGCTTTGGGGCCCATGGCTTTGGAAAAGAAGATTGACCGATCGATGGAGTGACTGATGGATTAACTGACGGACTGACTGTATAGCTTTGCTGTGGGTAACTGCTTTTGTCTTCTTGAGCTAGGTTTGGATTTCGTTGTTGCAGCCAGACAGAGGAAACCGTAGGCTTTGAATACTTGATCAGGTAGATATATACCTGGATGCGTGCTGAATCCAACGATTAGGTATAGATCTAGATCTAGGGTGAGGCTCAGCTCGCCGTGTAGGATGTCGACATCTTACAGTGAGCGCCGCGTCTACGAAACCCAAAGGAGAAATTCGCCAGGTTGCCTTTCTGGGACGCGGCAGACATTGTGCCGTTTTGGGATTGCAGACAGCCAGCCAGCCAGGCTTCCATCCCACTTCAATTTCGAAATACAATTGACCGCCAAGGTCAGAAATAGGAGGAACGGATTTTGGCCTCAGACATCTATGGGAATCGACAAGGTCACGGGGACTGTAGACACGTGACCATGCGGCTTCCCGATGAGGAAACCATTCCCTGGAGCCTCCGTAGAAATGCATCCACGACATTTACAACCAAACACCAGAGACTAGTCTTACCACCACCACCTGTGGTACCATCACCTACCTGCCTTTCTCGACTTAGAGATTATTGGAGTTAGGCATCGATCGGGCGCTGGACTTCATTGCTCGCAACATCTGCAAACCATCGTTGCTGAGAGCTCGAGACATCCTACTCGTTTCTAGACTATTCACCAGCTGAAATACCTGGCATCTGTGGTATCACACCGGTGAGCAAGATGTATGAGTTACAGTCACACCGAAAGTTCAGTGCGCTGGATGAGATGCTCCCAGCATTTTACTACTGCTACATACTTTGCTTTCCTGTCAGCAACCATAGCAGGGCCAGCATATCCGAGCTCCTACAGAAGTCCCTTTCATCGCTGGCGGCAGAGCGGCCCTACCTGTCCGGGACGATCCGCAGAGACATGGAGAGCAGCGTGCGCAAAGGCCATCTCCTCCTCGACATACCAGATCCCTTCGAAGACCTCCGCATCGTCTTCAACGATCTCACCGTCCCGACGTGCCCATGGAAGGATACATACGAGGATCTGAAAGACGCGGGCATGCCGCCGCACAAGCTGGATGCGAATTTTCTGGCGCCCCTGACGGCCGGCCATGGGGAGACGAGGAAGGTCATGTCGGTGCAGGCCAACTTTATCGACGGCGGACTCCTCCTGGCCTTCTGCTTCCACCACAACTTCGTCGATGCGTATGGAGCTGGCCGCATCATCGCTCGATTCTCGGAGCACTGCAAACATGGCCCGGGGGCGGTCGATCTCCACAATAGCGCTCAGTCTGTGAGGGATGAGGACGGAAACGGATCAGAAGGCATAGTGGACATCCTCGACGTCGAAATATTGAAGAAGCAGTACAGATTTGAGGATCTGGAGAGCGACCCGAACCTCTGGCGGCTAAACTGCCTCGAGTTCCGGGGCGTCAATGCTTTCCGCTGGCCCGATTTCATCCCGGCTCTGCTTCCAGCGAGAAAGCCGCCCGTCATCTCAAGCATGTTCTCGTTTAGCGCCGACGCCCTGGCGGAGATCAAAGCCATGGCACGGCCGAGTCAAGAAGGAGCGTGGGTGTCGACCAACGACGCGCTGGTGGCTTTCCTCTGGCGCCACACCATGCGCGCTCGCTATCCCTCATCGGTAAACGAAGGCGAGCCTCCACACCGCAAGACCAACGTCGTGGTGGCGCTCGACGGCAGAAAAGACCTCGCTATTTCCCCGTCCTACATCGGCAACTGCCTGTTCCACTGCTTCACCGAGCTACCTATCAACACGGTCGGCAGCGCGAGCACATCCCTGGGCGATATGGCGATCCGGGTCCGGCAGGCCATCACCGCGGCCCGGGACAGGGAATTGCTGAAGACGGTCGTCGGGCTGGCTGCCACACATCCGGACTGCCAGGCGATCAAGTACGCCAACGATAACCTGGGAACAGACCTGTACGTGACGTCGTGGGTCGACCTGCCTTTCTATCGGCTCGAGTGGGGTCCGCTGCTGGGTAAGACAGATTTCTTCCGCATCCCAGACCGGCAGTTTGAGAGTCTCTGTTGCGTTCTGCCGCCGAAGGATGGGGTCGTCCAGTTGATCACTTCGATGGAGGAAGACCATAGCAAGCGGCTTCATGGCGATGCTGAGTTCATGAGATTTTGCAGCCTGTAGATAGCCAATTACTGGTTTGCTGAGGAAATTCGATGGTTCCCCTTCGCCTTCCACCTTATAACAGAAGAGGGTTAGGCCATTCCATTGAAGCGAAGTCAATCTATGTGCGCTTGAAACGTTGCTATAAAAACTTGAAAGGCTCGAGTTTATAAGTTCTCACATCACGTCCCCCTTTCCCTCCCTGTAGTATCAGTCAAGGTCAAATTGACACGTCCCACCTGCGAAGAAGCAACAGTCCAAAAATCGAAAAACCACGAAATAAGCCCTAATATTTTATTCTGCCAGAACGCTTCCACAATCTCACAATCAAATCCATGCGTATGGATTAAAACCTCTGTCTACTACGCCTTCACTGCACCACCTTCAGCCAAGTGAAACCTGACCGGCAGGGCAGGCTTGTCCCACATGACATACACCTTACTCTCTCCCTCCCAGTCCAGCTCGGGATCCATCAGCTCCAGATCGTACTTCCAGCCCATCTTCGCGAGGATCAGATTCAGTTCCATGAGCGCAAAACTGTACGTAGCACATATGTGCGAGTTAGCCAATCAATCGACCAATCAATCTGTACTCATCCATCCATACAGACAGATAAAACAATCTAGACAGGCAAATCGACGAACGAACAAACAAAACAGACGAATAAAAAAAAAAATTTTAAAAAATAAATAGGTCTGCCGCAAGCAGGCTGTGCGGTCGAAGTTTGAGAGCTGCATTCGCGACTGACTTACTTTCGTCCCAGACATCCCCGCGGACCCAAGCTGAAGGGCTGCGATGCCTCTTTCAGGGCGGTGGCTTTCTCGCTGCTCATCATCCACCTGCGCGGATCGAACTTCATCGGGTCGCGGAAGATCTGGGGGTTGTGTGTCACTGTCCAGGCACTGGTGTAGATCTCGGTCTGGGGGGCACAACCGGCTCAAGTCAGCAAAGCATCGTTCACAATTTGCGATTGAGAGACGTGCGCGGAATAGGGGGTAAGAAAAGGCTTATCAGGCGAGTTCGAGTTGGAAAATAATAACAATAATAATAACGATAGTAACAATGATAACGTACACCCCGAGGGATCCATTCGCCATCGACGGCGAAGCCGGGGGACAGCCGCGGGAACCCCTGAGAGCCCGGGGGGTAGATTCTCAGGCCCTCGTGGATGACCGCCTGCAGATAGGGCAGCTGCTGGGCCGAGGTGGCGTTGATCGACTCGTAGGTCGGGAAGCGGTTCCGGATCTCTGCCCGCATGGCGGTGTATGCCTCTGGAGTCTTGAGCAGGTAGTACAGCGTAGCTGCCAGGAACGTCGCGACGGTCTCGCCGCCAGCGATGATGAGCGTTGATGCGTGCGCGGTCATCTCCTCGCGGTCCACCTTGCCAGACTCGACTTCAGAAATCAGGTTGGACATGAAGTCCTTCCGGCCGTTGTTGCTGTTGGCCATGCGCTCGGCAACCTTGTCCCGGGTGAACTGCGAGTGCTTGTTCCGCACGCGGGTCAGGATCGGAGCCAGGAATCGTGCCACGGTAAGGGCGAATGGCAGGCGCCGCAGGTTGTCCGCCACGGTGACGAAGTAGAGGTGGTTGAGGATCATCTCCTGCCAGTAGTGCGGCTCGCCGCGTGCGATGCACTCGAAGGATTGCCCAAAGGCCATTTCTCCGAGGATATCAAATGCTACCATCTCTGTCCATTTAGTCATGTTCAAGCCGTTCGTCTCGGGACCTCCGTCCTGGCCAAGCCGTGTGATGAAGGCATCTATGGTCTGAGAGACGAGCGGCTCCTGCTCCAAGAGTGCCTTCGTGGAAAATGCGGCGGAGAGAAACGACTTCATCTGCCGGTGCTTCTCGGGGATTCTCTCGCTGCCAACGCAGAGCGAGTCGAATCCTGACCCGTACATATCGTAGAACTCGCTCTTCGTAGGTTGCATGCCCCCGGCCCGGTGGCCGTATATTGACTTCCATGAGGACACGGAGGCAAACGAGAGCTCGTTGGGAGAGACTCTAAACACAGGGCCTTGTTTGGAAATATCAGCAGCTGCTTGCTCGCTTTGCTTGTTTCATTGTGTCCCAGGCACGAAATATCTTACCGTATCTCTGGTGCCCATCCTCTATTGATCGGTGGACTCTACCTTGCAAGGTCTTTTGCATTCGCCATAGCTACTTTCATCAGCGAGAGGAGTCATGGGCCGAGGAAATAAATAGATAGCGTACCAATGTCGACCGAGCCAATAAAGGTCCCGGAAACCTGGCCAAGGGATGGCAGTAGAGGTTGTAAACTATGAAGCCAACACAGTAGCAGACGGTCTAGCCACAGCCTGTTAGCAAAAAGAAAGCGCCCGGTGTGGTAGTATGAAGGAAGGAAAGTGTGTACGCCAGTCAACAAACAATTCCAAGAAAGCTTACTGCTGCTGTGAAGACGACAAACGGGAGCACGTATAGGCTTCTGGGGGCCAGAATATAGACCGATGAGAAACCAGACATCGGAGACATGGTGGTCATCTTAGAGCAGGAAGAAGCCCACTTGTTAAACAGCAGATTGCAATTGACACTCAACAGACAAAGCTATTGTGTGTGTTACGTTGAGTTGAATGATATATGTATGTATGGCATTATATATATGCTGTGTGATAGGGGAATCCCTATCCAGGACCAACTTCCTAGCTCGAATCATCACCTCCTCCAAAGAAGCCGTGGCGTATCTCAGCGTGTCGTGTCGTCGTGAGTTCGTCGCTTATGGTTCATGAACGTAAGAATCGCACTCTCCACGTTCGTTCGGACTGATGCTGCTTTGAGTCTGTAGCCGATCCAACGACGCTCGCCTGAATCGAGGCCTCTCTGCTTACCTGTGTCCTACCATGGACCCCCACACCAGGAGGCTCCGGCCGTCTAGTGTGCCGTATGCTGTACATATCTGTGCCGCTGTCTCACAACTTGTGAGCTCTATCGGTGTCATGACGCTGTCCATCGCGCAACATTCCTTCGCTGTGCCAGCTTCGTGTAGTGTATCCAGTCATCCAGTACGTACCATAATATATAGAGGCTGACTCCTGGGTCGCAAAGTTGAGACAGCGTCTCTCCATATCTGCCCCTTTTATTCAGGGATCGGAGCAGGCTCCTGCGGCAAGCGATGCGACCCAGTCGTAGATAGCGGCCGGCACAGCTCGCCATCCATATACATACGTATACATACACGTATACATAAGGTATATATGCACACGTCAGACTCAGCAAAATGGGGCGCAGGGGCCGTCTGGCACTTAAAAGCTTGGTAGATCTTTGTTTGTGTATCCATAATCGATGCCGGCTGACTGCTGCTGCTGATTGGACTACTGAAGCTGAGAATGATCTAGAGATAAGAATCTAGAGAAGTACAGAGCTCCGTTGTTTATCACGGCTTTCAGGAGCAGATTCGCAATTGTGATGAAGTTCCCGCTCTCTCAGCCCCAAATGTTACCGACTCGAATCTCAACAGGCATCCCCCCCCCCTTCATGGCCACTCTTGAGTGAGTCCGCGTGCCATTTTGTGATATGTAAGATGATGCTTATTTCGTAAGCTTTACCTGCATGCTTTTTCATTCACAGTGGCGCCGATGGTCATCCTAGAATTGCGATTATATAGGCAAGAGCTCGGCTTCTTCCACAAGTAGGTAGGGTAGACGTAGGGAAGTGACTTCAGAGCGCTTTCAGATCCGATATCACACTTTGCCTCTACTTGGTCAGAAATGTTCGGGACGCTCAAGATCGGATCCGAGAAGAACTCGGCGGAATTCATCGAGCATGCCAAAGGGGAGGCAGCAAGCCGGCTAGGGGGGTACGTCTTCTCGCACTCGGCCTGCGAGAACTGCCGCTTGAAAAAGGTAAGGCCTTTCTCCGTCCTGGCCTGGATCTCCATCTCCGGAACGCGCACTACTAATATACAAACTGTTTTTATTAGCTACGTTGCAGCGGGCACAAATCGGGCTGCGATCGCTGCCGAAGCCAGGTGCTGAAGTGCTCCTACCACACAGCAGCCGAGGGTAACAGTTCGCGGCTGAAGTCGAGATCACACGTCCCAGCCAACTTCTCTGCTACCAACGGGCCGGCGGGTAACAACAACAACAACAACAACAACAACAACAACAAAAAAAACAACAATAGCGCCCCGAGCCCTCGTGTCAATAATGATGCTAGTCAGGAGATCGGTGGGTGGGAAATGGCCGAGACGGATCCGCCTGGCAGTGGAGTTAACACCAGTTCCCAGTTCTCGCGGGATCTGCATCACGTCAACCAGAGCGTACAATCGAATCTTAACGACCTGCCACTGGATCTAACATTCGACAGCGAGCTTGAGTATTCGGAAAACGATTTTAACGATATTATCAGCTGCATCACCGGCGTCCAGCCAGACGATATGCAGACGCAAGTCTTCTCGAGTGAAGTTAGTCGAGAGCTCCTCGATGCAGAGGCCTTTGATGCCATGACAAAAACCGCGAACTTTATGCTGGATGACATCGTGGCATCGCAGCCTGCATCCACCAATGCCCCATCACCGTTCATGGCTTTCGGTCACAACTCGCCGTCCTCGCCGTTACGCCAAGACTTGGACCCCCCGGCTCAGGACGAATCTTTCACAGCAAGCTTTGAAGCCGGCCGGGCCAGATCGGGGACGGACCCATCAAGCTGCCAATGCCAAAGATCTATCCTCCGTGTCCTTGCGGAGATCGAGTCGAAGATTCTCTCAGCCGGTCCCAGCAACATCTACGCGATTCTGTCATATCAGCGGCTGACCACGGCAGCAAGCAACGACATCTTGACATCTCGTATCTGCAATTGCAGAGTCCAGCTTTTCGGGCTGCTAGGCATCATGGGCGAGAAGATCACCAGCCTGTCTGAGGCAATCATCGCTGCATTCGTCTGCCGCGTGAAGGAGCAAAGTGAGTCTGTGGAACCTGGCGGGTCCGATGCTCCAGACAAGCGTCTTGATCGCCACAGCGTAATCCGGTTGGGCGAGTACCAGGTGCAGACGCTGCAGGAATTCAAAGTCGTCTCGGCTGCCGTGATCACGTTGCAGTTGAACTATTCAGTGACTTTTGTCTCTCGCACTCGTGAACTTGCGTTTTCAATGAACCATCTGGCACAAGCTCAGAGTCTCAAGAAGCTCGAGAGCAGGCTGAAAAAGCTCTTCGTCAAGATGCAACAGTTGGCCTCGGACGTCGAGTCGGATTGCTGGGATATATGAGTCCCGTGGAGGCTGTGACAGGAGGAGCCCGGGAAGATTCGTTGGTTACATTGGTTGGGTACATTTAGAGAGCCTTCAGGGCGTGCACATACTTGGTACATGCCCATTGAAAGCTTATATAGTCAGTCAATATCTGCAGTCAACGCACTCACTCATAACGAGCATTGACCTGCCATACTACAGTACCAGGGGCCAGCAGCACAGATGGTAAGTGAAGTTGACAAAGATCCCGGTACGCATCCAATTTTTATGGAAAAGGCTCCTGGTGTTACTTCTGTGTTAGCAAGCATCCCGTTCCGTATTCGGTGTCTTCCCGATCAACACGCCCTAGAAGGGCATGTCCCGATTCAGGACTACCGAGCCTTCTTTAATGAGATTGACCATCCTGTTGGGACATGGTAATATCAGGGAGGAGGTCGCATGGAGCGCAAACGGTTGGTAATAGCTGTCGACCAACAACCCAAAAAAATTCCCCATTCCCATTTCCAGAGCACCTTCCCAGTTGCCAGCACTTTTAGGCATTATATTTCCGAAGTCATGTTTTCTGCACTGCCGGATCTGGCGTTCTTGACGCCCAAGGGTGGTTTGATGATTGGGGTGAGTACCGTACCCAGCACTCTGCACCCGCAAGGCATTTTCTGAAGCGAGACAAAACACAACAACAGCTTGCTCTCGCCCTCACCGCATACCGCTACTACAGACACACCCAGCATCCGCTGTACAAGTTCCCTGGGCCCCGGTCGGCGGCATGGAGTAACGTGATGCATTGCTACTACTACATCCGCGGTCGACAGCCCTTTAAGCTGCTCGAGCTGCACAACCAATACGGTAGCGTAGTCCGGACGGCTCCAAACGATCTCTCCTTCAATACGGCAGAGGCATTCCGGGACATCTACAACTTCCGGCCCGGCCACGAGACGTTCATCAAGAGCGACTGGTATGATGGGGGCGTCTTTGCAGACAAGGCTCACTCGATCGTGAGCGAACGTGATCCTGGGAGGCATGGACACATGCGGAAGTATCTCAGCCACGCCTTCTCGGACCGGTCGTTAAAAGCGCAGGAGTCGCTCATCAATGAAGTTGTGAACGAGTTTGTTTCTCAGCTTGAGGTGTACGGCTCCAGAGAGAACGGCATCGACATTGTTGTCTGGTTCAACCTGGCCACCTTTGATATCATTGGATCTTTGGCATTTGGAGAGTCGTTCGGAGGAGTCAAGTCAGGTCGGTGCCCCAGATTCCAGATACTGTTCGACTTCCATGAATCAAATCGCCCTGTACTCATCGTTTCGTATAGGTGAGGTTCATCCTTGGATCTCGCGAATCATCACGGCCATCGGGCAGAGTGCTCTGGCAGACGCCTTCAAAAGGTTCCCGGCTTTCGCAACTACGTTCAAGTGGCTGTTCCCTAGAGCAATTGAGAAGATGCTGGAGGACACGGCAAGCCATGAGAACTATACCATCTCCCTGATCGACAAGTATGTATGCCTCCGAAGCTCCACAGAGCCATATGCGGAAGCGGAACTCTAACACCTCAAACTAGGAGGTTGGACAATCCATCAACTCGTCCAGACTTCTTGACACGCATGCTGGAGAACAGACCCGCGGATCTGACAAATATGCAAATCGCCGCCCACGCGTCCGACTTTGTCATTGCGGGCAGCGAGACGACAGCCACGACACTGAGCTGCATAGTGTACTACCTGACCAAGAACCCATCCGTCTATCAGAAAGCCACGCGGGAAATCAGGGACCGGTTCGCCAGATTCGAGGACATCAACTCGACGGCAGCCTTGCAGCTCAAGTACCTCCACGCGCTAGCCCTCGAGGCGATGCGGATCTATCCACCTCTGCCGCTGGCCCTGCCGCGAGTCGTGCCCAAAGGCGGGGATACCATCGCTGGCCATTTTGTGGCAGAAGGGGTAAGTCTCGTCCCATCCCGTCCAAATCCCAATCCCATCCCAAGAGCATCCTAACGCAGAGCCAACCAACAGACCATCGTCTCCGTCAACCCCGTCGCCGCGAGCCTGTCTGCCCAGAATTTTGAGGCGCCGCTGGAATTCAGACCCGAGAGATGGCTCGGCGGAAGCGATCTGCGCGGTAACCACGAGGCTTCGCAGCCGTTTTCCATGGGGCCGCGAGGATGTCTCGGGAGGAACCTGGCGTGGATCGAGTTGAGCCTGCTGCTCTCAAAGATGCTCTGGGTCTACGATCTCGAGCTTCTGAACCCGGAGATCGATTGGTTGGAGGATTCTGCGATGGCGATGCTGTGGAAGAAGCCGAAACTGATGATTAGGACTACCCGCCGGCAGCAGGCTGCTGTGTAAATGCTTGGCGGTCACCTGATTTGACCCACATCTCGCATGGCAGTCAACGGCTTGATTGTCGGATGATCAGATTATACAATGATACAAATCGGTTCAATTTAAAGATAGAGGAATGACGTTTATATTTTTATTATATTATCAATTCAACTTGTAGCGATCAATTGCCTATCTAATCAAGAATTTACAAAAATGATCGAGTGTCGGGGGAGACTAGCTTTGCCCCTGGGTAGATCTGCCAACGTCCGGTCAATATTTGCAACTGTTAAAACGACTAGGGTCGGTTAGCGTCGTTGCACCTGGTCTGGGCGCTATTGCAAATAAAACTGGAAATATGGCTTGGTTAGAATAGTTGTTGTTATTGTTGCCTTTATTAACGTCGGGCGGGTATTCAAAACGCAATGCTTGGACCTTAAGGACCTTTTATAAGGTACGGCGACGTGCTAAGTAAAGGAATTATATATAAAATACTATTTAATCGAAAGCAAAAACTACGTTAAGGAAAACCTTTCGTTAAATAGCTGAACACTTGTAAACCTTTAAAAGCAATTCATAGTGCTATACGTCGAGTTTTCTTTCGACAATTATCGAATACGTATAGCCTTACGAGCGGCTTCGATCCGTATAATATAAATATCGTTTTCTTTCGTCGTAGAGTTAAGAAGGCTCGCGTTCGTAGCCCTTAGATAAAGCCGATATGTTTGCAGAACACTTTTTCGAAGGCGCAATACCGTGTTTTCAATCAATCGAACTAAGCCTTTCCTATCTTATCTCTTATACACGTTCCTTTTTTATCGCAAATCCTTTTGGTTTTTTCAATCGGTATGCTCGTTAAGTATAAATCGTAATCGGCGTAGTATTCGAAAAGAAAGAGGAGGGAGGCTCGGAATCGCCGGTAAGAAGAAATCTCTTCGAAGAGACGTCGCATGTCGATAATTCAATTTCGGCTCTTTAGACTTTCTATCTCTTTTTCTACCGCAAGAGAAAGAAAGAGAAAGAGCTGAAGGTTCGTAAGGGGCACCTCGTACAAGTAAAGAATCGTAGCCCCCCTTGGTTAGAATAGAGAATCAAGGGAATCGTTCAACAGCAACCATAGTTGCTAGTGTTGACTCTACAAAGCATCGTTACATCCATTCGATTACAGATAATTATATATCAGCTTGCCATTCTGTCCAACTACCTACCTACTCTACCAAATCAAGGCCCTAGCTCAGTACATAGGTACATATGGCACCGATCATTCCGGCTCACGCTTTCGTCCTACATTAAGATATCAAAAACTTCCCACAAATTACATACTCTCTATGTACATGCTCGGGCTGTCTCTCAAATCGGCAAGATGACCGGGATGCTATGCCGTATACGGCTGCGGTAGGCTCAGCTTCTTCTCGTCTACGGCCTTTTGCCTTTTTGGGCACATGCATACCGGTACATGAGAGCACTCGCGCACCGCATGGAACAAGTCAACAAAAAAAAACGCCAGGACTTGTCCGCGATAATACAGTTGAGCTAGCATCTACCTATTTATCTATGGCGATAATCCAACGGGATACATTTGTATTGAAACTACTACTCACGTCTTCACGACTCCATCCCACCAAAAGCGAGCCGGCCAGCTAGCCAGCTAACAACCAGCCAACCAGTCTATTGACCATGACGACACTCGGCATCCGAGAAGAAGACATCCCCCGGCTCGACGGAAAGGTCGTCATCATCACCGGCGGCTCCTCCGGCATCGGCCTCGCCTCCGCCAAGATCTTTGCCCGGGCCGGCGCCAAAACATTCCTCCTGGATCTGAACCCCCCCGACGAGCCCGTGGACCACGCGACCTTCATCCGAACCGACACCACGTCCTGGGCCGACCTGAAAGCGGCCTTCGCGCAAGCCGGCCGCGTCGACATCGCCGTGGCCAACGCCGGCGTCTCGGAACAGCAGCCCTACTTCCAAGACACCTACGACGAGCAGGGCGAGCTGCAAGAGCCCGGCTTCGCCGTCGTGGACGTCAACCTCAAGGGCACCGTCATGTTCATCAAGCTGGCCGTCAGCAGCATGCAGCGACACCGCCGGCCGGGCGGCGGCTCCGTGGTCATCACCGCGAGCGCGACGGGCTACGCGCCCGAGCAGAACCTGCCCGTGTACAGTGCCGTCAAGGCAGGTCTGCTCGGGCTCGTGCGCTCGCTAAGGTCGACACTCCCCCGCTCAGACATCACGATCAATGGCGTGGCCCCGGCGGCGACGGTCACGAAGCTGCTGCCCATGGATATCGCCGGGCCACTGATGGACGCCGGTCTGCCCGTTAGCTCTGCTCACATGGTGGGTCTGGCCGTGGTGTATTCGGCCGTGGCGCGCCAGGCCCGGATGGTGGAGGCCTACGGCAAAGAGACGACGCTGGATGCGGAGGGCAGGTGGAACGGGCGCACCATCTTGACGCTCGGGGAGAGCTATACCGAGGTGGAGGAGAAGCTGGCGGATCTGCGGCCGGTCTGGTTTGGCTGGCGGAACGCGGACTTGACCAAGAAGCAGCAGACTACTGCAGACTTTAGGTAGAGGTAGAGGTAGAGGTAGAGGTAGAGACAGAGGTCGCAGTAAAATCGAACTTGACGTTCACATTCAAACCGAACTCAAAAGTTAAAGTTGAACCCTCGCCGGCAATCAAGAAATCCACAAGCCACAAGCACCTGCAGCCAGCCAGCCAGCCAGCCAGCCAGCATAGCTACCTATCGTGAGCCGTACGGAGTACATCCAAACAAACACCCCTCCAATCCATTTCTCTTTTTTTTTAAAAAAAAAAATTGATATTACCCGGAGACTCAAAGTCGCTCGCTCCCTCCCTCTCTCTCCCCCCCTCTTCAACGCTGATGACAAACCGCATCCAATCCTCCCACAACCTTAACACACAAAGTCACAAAGCCGGTGATAAGACAGATCATCTTCATCACACTTCCTATACCATACTATCTTTGCATCCAATCGATTCTTCGACAGCCCAGAAATACATACAATACATACAATACATACAATACATACAATACATACAATACATACATACAAATCCCCCCTCCACGTACACGTCCGCACTGTAGTAATACCGGACGGAGGCAGATAGAAATAGATCCCGGTATCCTCGCCGTAACCATACACATACACATACCATGCATGGGCTTACACTTACTCAGGAAAAGCGGATGAAAAGTGGATTGTAACCTTTTTTTATTTTTATTTTAAAAACGAAAAAAAAAAA